GTTGTGCAAATGGCTGTTTTTATCACTTCTGTATGAAATTTCGTTTTCGTTGAAGAAATATTTATTCATTCGCCATCCAATTACGTAATTGAAGTAAAAGTTCTCGATTCGTGCTTGTAGGGCTTGAATCATTTGAGGCATCTTTTTAATGTCTTTTATAGGGTCGTTTTCGTTATTTTTGCACAAATGCAAAACATACCTTTTTCTCGTTTCTTCGTATCTATATTTATCAGGTTTGCGAATGACTCAATTTCCTGTTTGAATTTCTTTTCGGGATGCCATCAAGTAGGTGATAATTGGAAATGAGTATTTTAAAACACTTGTTAATTGCACTTTGATTTGAGATCCAGCGGAAGTTAATACCACTAAACTGGAATGATAAACGCTGACATTAATTGCCTCACAATCGTGGAGCACTCAAAAGCTAAGTGACTAAGTAAGGTATACGGATGAAGAAAACATGTCCTTATCTGAGATAAGACAACTAGACTTAAGATCCGCCTTTACTTTAACGTGGTTGTCTTGAAAGACTTGGTAATTGTTATCATTTGATCTGAAATTCGCATCCGTCTTCCTTTGTATGAAAAAATTAACTACAATTTTGGAGCTTCATCTTACAACAGGACTAGTTAATGTAAGATTTAGATCCAACGAAAACATGCTTTTTCATTGTTCCTTATCTTGATTTGTCAGGTCGGTAATTGATAGAGGCAGCACATCTGGCGCCCTTTTCGGAATGCACACGTTTTTTGTATTGAAATCGGCCCGCTGCTTTTATACGATGAAGATTTCCGCCATCTACGAACGGAAGCGTGTTTCATTGTAGGAGAATCTGGTGCAAAATACTTAAATATAATCTCTTAAACTCTTTGATTTCTTAAGAGACAAAGGCCATAGACTTCTTTTATCTTTGTCGCCACACAATCAGAGTTATGGGTCGACTTAGAAGGAAAGTCACAATTTTTCTGTCCACACGTACCTCCATGCACTCAGTTATGCCGGAGTAATAAATTACACAATTTTAACTTCCCGAAGTACTATCTCAGGATCTGAATAAGGTGGCAACAAGTACATGAACATGTCAGCCGAGTTCGTTTATAAGTAAGTTGATCAGAACTCGAACAACTCTAAAAAAAACTTAAAGGCGATCGTAGACCAAGAATTATGGAGAATGCCCAGAAAATATGTACAAGGTAAAGGCTACGGTATCATTTTACTTCTCTCGAGTCTCTCTCTGCTTTATTTTTCCCAAGTTTTCATTTGATACATGAACTTCGAAGTCAAAATTCAGTGGACATAGATTTTGGCTATCGACGCAAAGATTGACCCTTACCAAGGGAAAAAAATCCAATTATTTTCATTTGTCCTAACAAACTGTAAAATGCATCATAGTTTCTGGAGAATTGTTCCTAATGACCGTCAAAAGGAAATCCATTTCAAACGAAATTTCTTTCACTTGATTTTAAAGAATCATCAAATCTGACAGAAATTCTTAAAAAACAAGGTGAGCTCCTTTCATTAAAAACCACTGAGTGGAGTCGCAAACGCAAACGAAGATCATTTGCATCTCGGTGTATAAGCGTCAAAACGTTTGTCCAATACTAATAAGTTCGCTTAGCTTTTAAAATGTCATTTAAAAAGTAAAAACCAAACGTTTTCGACATTAGGCCACCATCAGGGTACACATTATAACGTTTGTTCTGAGTATATTGACTGGCACCTTTGATACACCTCTTGACTGCAAGAGATATCCAGAACCCTTCATCCAGACATGTGGGTCATCCCAAACGAACACACACCACATCTCTGTCCAACGAATTCTATTCAAAATTGTGTAAACGAGGGTTCTCGATAACATTAATGGAACCGAGAAAATAGGTTTTGAACTGCGCCGTATTTATTTTCAATTTGTTTGGCGAGAATTTACGCACAGCATGGACGGTAAAAGCACGGCATCTATGATTTTGGTAAAAGTACAATCTGCTTACAATGATGATAACTGGAATTACAAACCATCAAATGTTTTCGCTTGCCTGCAATTGGTCGAAACGCATCACATGGTCGAAAATACCCAAGCTAAAAATGGGGAGTCTACCAAGAAAGAAGCGTTCGTTTAAAATTTAACTCAAGATGAAATAACGTCTAGCTATTGTCACAGATGAAGGAAAATGTTTGTTTGTTCATAAAGTCGTACCAAAGGACACTGCAAGGTCTCCCACGCAGCAAAAAGGAAGCTATTAGTAACATTTTCCCGCTCGTTACAAAAATATTTGAGGGATAACAAACACACTAGCCTCCATTTGGCGCAAAAATATCATCTTGTATTTATACTTGGACATTATCCGTTCTTTGAAGCTCGCAATTTTCTTCGAGGTTCGCTCTCGGAAAACCTGCCGTTCGCATCTCTAAACAGAAAACGTCCGTGAATAAATATTCGTGCATATTTTCGCTGCAAAGGGTAGCTTTTTTTATGTATCTGATAACTGTAATTCCGGCGTTAAAACTCGCTTCTGAATTTCTTCAGGATTTCTTTCAACCAATTGGCTGCTAACTGAAAGCGCATTGCTATTATAATAATCATTAGTTTACAGCTAAATGTTGGTATTGTACTCTTAATTAATTCCAACTTAAAGTGTATAGCGGAATATTTTTGCATTTTGTAATTGATATAACGAGCGCTTTTGCGAGAGATGACAACCAGCTTAAATGGTAAAAGTGTTACTCTATTACGAAACTTTATTTATTCAGCTTTTTAGGAGCGCTGCCCTTTTCACGATAAAACTTGATCGGCTTTTTTGAACGTGGAAGGAAAGGCTTTCACTTTTGCGGAAGAGCTCTTTGAATTTTATCCATTCAGGTGCCGCTAGAGATTAAAATCTCTTGGGTGCCGTTACCCTTCGACAAACAGCGTTTGTGCCTGTAGTTTGAACAACCATATGCAAATGTACTCTCGTATTTCTGTCTGTTCTATAAAATTACAGCTACAAAGACAAAGCTCTTCTGATCTTTTAAAAAATCTTCCTTATTATACTTTTTGTTATAAACCTGCTGTGTAATAACTAAAACTGAGAAAAATGGCAGATCACAATACCATTTGAAGAACTTTATACAGGGTGCCATCTTAATAAAACCTAGCTAGGTAGAAATTTCTCATAGTCTATTTCATAAAAGAAGGTACTTTCTGGCAATCAATGGTGCAGATTTTGTATTTTTGATCCGGCCGTGCTTGAATGCATAGCAATGAAGATAAATGTCTGAGTTGAGTCACAATCGGCCGACATGTCTACCCTTTCTCAATTTCTAACTGACAGGTCAACTTTAAAAAGATTGAAAGAGTTATGCAGCCAGAGAGGTTCCATCTTTCCAGAGCATCTTTCTTGCGTTGACGACCCCCTGTGGAAAAATCGATCATTGACAAGGAATTGTCTAATAGAGCATCAGTTTCTTTGTAACATTTTCAATGAAATTATGGCTTAGCAGCTCGTTCTACTTAAATAGTTGTTCTCAACTCTTGTGTAGTCCTGATAGAGTTTCAAGTGGATTACTCTTCGTGATTGCCCATTGTAAACACTTTCAATACGTGCAAATAATTTTGTCACAGAATTTTGCGGTAGAAGTGAAGAGTATAAAATTTGTGTAAAAACAACACAATTCAATTTTTATGTGAGTTTGACATCTATGATTGCCTTTATTGGATCAAATTGACCATTTCTTCGTTCCATTACTGCTTATTTGGAAAATTTCGCTATGTTTGTAAGTCAGGAGGTTTTGGATACGTTTTTAAAATTGTTCACTTAGCACGCACGCGGTTAATTGAGCTTCGAATTCGTTGCTGTTGAAAATTGCTTGAACGCTTCGCTTTGTGTTGTAAATTACAATGTTATTACATGGATAGTTTGTGTGGTCTGTTATCAACCTCCAGGAAGAATTGTTTTTGTGTCATTTTATGATTTAATTCCAATAAAGAGAAGTAATAAAATTCGCTGTGGACTCCTGAGATTGTATTCTCCAACAACAAAAGAAGGAAACACGGCGGATATTGGATATTTAGGTAGTTTCGCGTGACACAATTTTCTGAGAAAATCCCTGGTTGAAATGCCCTTTTGATTGCAGGTGCAATTCATGTTTCGCAGTTTTAATAACAACACAGATAATAGGATCTTGATAATATTAGAAAAGAAAATTGAAACACTTTCGCCTGAAGCTTACAACTTATAATGCCTTTAACGCTAATATTATAAAGCACAAATTTAGCTGAAGTTTCAAAATAAATCCTTAGGAACGCTTTCTTGTCATTTGTTGATCATGAAAATCCTTTCGCTCTTTATTTTTCTTCTGCATGATAAACGACTGGGCGGTTTTTTCGTGTTTACGTAGCAAAGGCAAGCGCTTGGAGATTTGATATTGTTTTTAAGGAAGTAATTTTCAAAAGCCTCAGCACAAACTTCATCTTTTATGCAAATTTTATAAACGTGAAAATTCAATGAAATATTTATGCTATCGGAAATGTGCGCGGTGATTTTTTTTGTGCAATAACATATAAATTGCAGGTAAGCCTTTTGACCTCCACAAATCTGAGGCTGTGGGCAGAGTAATATAATCTCTACTCAGAGGGCCTTCAAATCATCTTTTGTGCACGAGAAGGGCGAAACAGTTTCAAGAGATCGAAGAAATTCATTATCACGCTATTGTAAACTTTCAGGTCTTTGGCTGAGAACAACGGGAAAAGTCTTATAACCATAGAAGCGTGTCTAACAGAAACATTTCTTCACTCTGCTTCTCGCTCTGGTATCGTAATCTTCATTTGAGGACAGTGTCTTTTTTCAACTCGTTGCGTAACATTCAACCAGCGCGAAAACAGCTAGTTTGGATGGACCAGAGAAACTATCTATCGAGGACTCTCTATACTTGATATCCGTGGGGAACGTTACATGAACAGACAAATTTTTCTTGCTTCAGTGCAACAAGACCTTTAAAAAACGTTGGAAGTCACATGAACGATGCAAGGAAATCTCAGCAACGTATCTAACGATATCCTCGACGCTGATGCAGAGTTTGACGGAAAGATTGTATTTCTGGTGTTCGTGTTGTTGCTTATCCTTGCAACAGTCGTTGGTAATGGTTTCGTATTCATGGCTGTTTACACATTCCGTGAGTTGAGGACGGTAACAAATTACTTCATAGTGGCCCTTGCCGCCGCAGATGTGGCCGTTGCTCTTTTGGCGATGCCGGTATGGCTTGTAAGATCACTTGTTCACGTTGAAAGGGAACAAGATAATTATGTGATGGATTTGTGCACCCAATGGATCGATCCATTCTGTTGTACAGCATCCATTGTGAACGCCACGTTAGTTTCCATTGACCGTTATTGTGCCATTAGCAAGCCGCTACGCTACAGAACCATGGTGACACCACTTCGTGCTAAGCGCTCCATTGCCGTGGTTTGGGGATTCGCAGTGGCCATTGCAGGAGTCTCCTTTCTGCAATTTCATGAGTCCTACACGGTTATCGAAGGCTATGTTATATTTCTATTCGTGACGCTATTTTGTATTCCCTTAATCACGATGTCGTTTGCGTATATCTCGATCTGCAGGGCAGCCATCCACCAGATTTCTAAGATGCACTCCACACGACTTAGCTCAACGTCTTACGATCAAGACAGGAGGCAGTCGTTTGAACGACGAAAACGCTTCTTCAGAGAACTAAAAATCACCAAAATGCTTGCAGTCATAGTGAGTCTGTTTATTATTTGCTGGAGTCCATTCCTTGTGGTAACTCTCATTGAAGCGTTCACGACTGAGGAAATTCCACTTGCAGTTCAAGGTGTCATCGTCTTTCTTCCCTACGTGCTTTCATGCGCAAACCCTTGGATCTATACTGGAATGAACAGGGATTTTCGTTTGGCCTTTAAAAAGTTTTTTTGTAGCTCAAAGATTCTATGCCTTAAACGTTCCAGAGAGCGCAGCGCAAACGAGCGCATGTTAAGGCCACTACCGTCGACCACAGTCGACGAAACCTTCATTTCTAACGGCTTGCGACAAGGATCCAACTCGATTCGAAAGGTTTCCAGTCGTGGACCAGAAATTACAACTGTTTAGCTTTTGAGATGGACTCAAAGAAAATATCAATTAACTCCTTCATCTCCGATTGTTTTATCGATCGAACTAATGACATTTTAAATATGATTTATAACGCAAAGGATGCACTCTTGCCAAAGTTAAATGGATTAGGAGAATAAGCTGATTTTCTCAATTAGAGAGTGACATTGCTCAGTATACTTCTAGAATGATTGCGTTCGCTCACTTTCATTACTTGAGCTGAATGCACCCATTTATATCGAAAGGCGATAAATGTTCTGAATTCAGCTAAAGAAGATTTACGGTCATCTTCGAAAACACGGCAGACGCAACTTAGATCCAAACCCACGTCCATTTACATTAATGACCTGTTTGTCTTATACGATAAGGGATGGAAAATGGGCAGAAATGTCTTTGTAGATGACTGTTTGAAAATAGAAACTTAAAAATAGCTAGTGTTGGTGTCGAGTCGTCGGAGTAAGGTTCCTTCAATTAGTGATATATTTGAGATATATGTAGAAATATTGAGGAAAACTGGCTTTTTGTTTATGTTAAAAAGGCAGGCGAAAGCGTATGGATGAATTCAAATTGTAATGAAAGATCATCTTTTCGTCTTCTCGTTCGATATTTTGCAAACCATACAACAAAGGATATTGTTTGGCTCATGTAGATTTTGAACCCACGATTTACGTAACCGAATTAAGGTTGAGAACAAGTCGGGGATTGGTGACTGTCGATGAGAAACAAATACGTTTTTTTGGTGACCGAATGCACCAGAAACTTTTATTGAGGTTTTCTATTGAGCATGAAAAACCTTTGCCATTGACAGGCACACTACAGCTATGAATATGGGTGATATGAGAGTCTTTTAAAGCGGAACGACTAACGGCCATGTTTAAACGCGTTGAAAATTCAAAGTAGTTAAATTTGTATCAAAAAGAATGAAGGGAATTTCTTCGAAGAAGTATATTTTCCAATAATCAAAACTCTGCGCGGGGGAAATAGAAAGAATTATAAAACGACTGGTGACCGATGGATTTCAGGCTAACGACAACTGGAAAACAACGAAAAAATCTCATCTTTTACTTTTGCCAAAATGCTGTTTGTCGCAGTCAATCTTGATCATTTTGTTTTGTTTCAGTCGACAGCCATACACAATATACACAGAAAGGTCAGAACTTATAGGCAATTTTGTGTTTTTTTATTTCTTCGCCGCAGCTACCAGAGAAACCAATCCTAACACTGGTTCTGTTTAGGAACACACTAAGAAAAAAGCTTTCCGAAATTTAAGGATAATACCGTGGAAGACATACACCAGAGATGTCATGTGTTACTGTTCTAAATCTGTACCTAAGCATTTTTTGCAGTGACGCTTTCGGATTATGTGCAGATTTATTTGCGATCGTATTTGCATAGCTAAATCTTACAAGAATAAAGATATTTTTTGGAGGCCATTCTAGTATTCATGGACGGCCTATCCAGTTGCCATTTCTAATATAAATAGATAAATAGATGAGTTACGAACTTGCAGTCTTCGGTCTTAAAAGTTGTAAATATATGAAGATGACATCTGTTTGGTACAAACACCAATCGTTGCATTTGTTCTGTAAAATAAACAAAATTGTTTGGGTTATGAGGGCTGTTTGGGCTGCCATTTGTGTCAATTTGTCTTGAATTTTTCATTCCATTTGAATTAAAATGACATAAAATTAACATTGAGCTCATCTGCTCTGTGCTGTTCATTTTAAAGTGGACTTAAAGAGAGGCGGTACACCATACATTTGAAGGAAGTTTTTTTCTATATATTTATATGTTTTCAGCCCCGTTTTCTTTGATACTGTTCAAATAAAACCGAAATAGGAAATCCCAGCAAGGTGTTCCTCTGGTCAAAAGAACCGACAGAAAGTTTATTTACCGGTTCCTAATTTCCCTCACACGTTGTTGACGCAGCCGAAAACTGAAAGGTGATTTGCATCGTACGTCGTTGATTGATATTATTTTGAAGTACTGTTTATCTTTTAAAAGTAAAATTTGCTCTTATTCGAGATATTCTGCAATCTGATTTGACTTCACGACGCAATACTATGATTTTGAGTCGTAAAAGGGATCTGATAGGTTTAAAACCCAGTAGAAGATGATATGTCATAAATTCAAAACAAGTTCTTCTATCTTTAGTTTCCTTTGATGAGTTGACAATACATAAGCTTCCTAAGGAATTCCTTGGATTATGAAACTTATATGTCACATATACGCATTGATTGCTGCGAAAAATGATTTTTTGTTTCAAGAAAACTTTTCTCATATTAGTCTACTTGTTTGTTTTACGAGGCTCGATCGTTGTAAACTTCAACAGTACATACACTGAGCAAATTGGTTGGAGCCAACTAAACTGGCAGCACTACATACTACGTCCTCGCTATCCCCGAAAAGGCAAACCACTAGCACAAATGTACATTATGGTCAAGTTTATATACATTTTCGAGTTGAATGTTAGGGGAGAAAAATGAAAAAGAAAAGAAATATCTAAGACTGAAAATTTCACGAGAGCAACAGCTTTATTTTTTTGTGGACATTCATGAAAACTTTCGGCTTTTTTCTTCCATGTGAAATAGCCAGTTAAAAATGTGAGCAAGAAAAAATCTTGTAGTCCTGAAATAACCAATGATGTGCAGAAGGATTTGATTTTGCCACTGATTTGTTAAACATATCGTCTAAACAGGTAGGAAGATCGAGCTATTGAAATTATACAGTACAATTTATACTACGGCAAATAAACGTTATTGGTTTAAGTTTTTGACAGAAAGTGTTTTTCCAACCTGAACGAAGTGCGATTGTAACGTGACACCGGCAACCGAACATTTCCCTCATTTTAAATCTATACACAAGACATGACTCAGAAACTTTTTCTGTGAAACATGAACCATTCGATGACTTCACATTGCATTTACAACAAGAACGGAATATTCTGTCATGTCTGTCCGTCAAATCGTCAGAATCTGTGGTAGTCAAACTTAAGCATGCTAGCTATCATTTCTCCTGAACGTATAATCACAGAAAGAATCATTTTGAGTATTTCAACATAGACATTTTAAAAGCATCTTTACAAAATTATCGTTAAAATGTAGTGTCAAAAGAACCCTTCTCAGCTAGCTGCTGTGGTAATCAGTTGACGGGAACTCCGATCGGCAGGTCTGATGGTGCACCGGATGAAATTTCCCTTTTGTCCGCATCGTTCGATAAACTTTATTGAAAAGAAAGGCATATGCGACAGTACAAATTTTATTGAGCACGGAAACGATTTAAGTGATACAAAAGCGTTTAAAGTCGCAAGCATTTCAGATAAACAAAAAGCGAGCCCGCGAGAAAAGTGGTATGTGGTAAGTGAAATGTTCTTAGTAAACAATGGTATAGCATAGGTACAGGTGATTCTTGCAAACAAATCACGAGAACCATCTCATGAATGACACGAAGTATTGTCCCGATTCCCTAAACGAACATTTTCTTTAAGTTGCAGACAAGTCTTCCTTGTTAAATCCTGTTGTCAACAAATGTAGTTCGCTATTTACTTATCATTTACAATTTCCTGGATGACCTTCTTCACTGTCCAAGTCAGGTCTTTGCGCTTCGTCTTTTGAGTTTGTTCTAGTGCAAATTTAGTTCTAAGAATCTGGCATAAACGACTTTAAACAAAGGAACTTTCCAAGAGGAAAACTTGTCGTATTTATCGAACTTTTCTCTATTTCAGTTATTGCATCACTTTTATTAATCAAATTGATTTTTTTTCGAATTCTGCACCACTTTTCGTCCCTACGCCCTGTTTGAAATTTTTAGATAGATCCTCTTTAAATTTTCATCCACCTTATCTTCTATTTGTGTTTAGATGGTGAGCAGATGTTTAAAAATTAGAGATTTTACATCCAGACTATTTAAGATTCAAACTAGGGTATGACTTGAAATTTCGAACGACTCACCTCTTAAGATCTCTTAAGCAGTTGCACTTTCCAATTTATTGCAACAACAAGGAGCCGAATTCAGTCGTTTGTAAGCGGCATCCTAGATAGTGCCGGATATTTTCTCACGCTTGCTAAGTACATCGTAAAGTATCTATTTTTTCAAATAATTGTGATCCTATTTTTAACCTCATTTTTCGCTCCGCGTAAAATTAGAGGTTAATTACACCCAAAACCGACACGCAATCTTGACAAGGAATATTTTTTACGATATTCACGAGTGTAACAAATTTAGTTGATCTTGCCTGATTCGTTTGAGGTTTATTCCTTTTGATTAATACTTTGGATCCTTTTGAAACGATATCTTTGGCGTAACTTATCCTTTTATAGACACCACTGATGAAAGAACAATTAAAAAATTCTACTGGTTTAAAAGTATTCCGGTGAACGACCCAAAGTAATTGCTAGGTTGTTCTTCTTTTTTTCGGTTAACACCACAATGCCTTCAGCTATCTGTTTTTTTTTTCTTAAGAAGTAACGAATATACTCAAAGTATAAAAATATAATTGAATAGTTAAACTTCATCAGAACTTTCAACTGGTTGAGATGATTACTCGAGTACAGACGAAATTATCTGATTCAACTGTCGCCTGGCTTTTTTTTGGAACAAATCCATTCCGAGAATCTTTAAAATTTAAACTGGACTTCAGGGAAGGTATTTCACCAAACAAAGCTGGTGGTTCGTCGCTGTTTCGTGAAATGATTGATGATGATAGAATGTAAGAGTGCGTTAAATTTATGTGTAATTTAGGCTCGTGTAACAAGAAGACTGAAAAATATTATAGTTACGTGGTAGCAGTGTGTTGTCAGTTCTCTAATCGCTTGTTCGCCCTCTTCTAACCGTTCCTTTTTTTCTTATTATTTTTTGTTAGATCTTTGCACTTCGACCAGTAGTTTGCATTATTCAGTTTTGGTAAGTGAAAGCAGGTCGTATAGCTGCACAAAGAAATTTATGTAAAAAAAACCTCGGAAAAGAAAAATGGCCATTTTAAAAGATTCAACAACTTTACAACTTTTAAACGGGTGTGGCTTTAAAATTAGTTATTTTGATTCGTGATAACGTTTCCTTTGCGGTTCCTTTTGTTATGGTTATCACTTTACTTTTAGCCAACTAATGTCTACAGTGAAAGAGCCGCCGCAAGGTGAACGGACACTAGTTGATGGTGATGCTTTAATTGCTTCCACAGACATCAACTCAACGCCCTGGGTATGATGAATGGCTCGAACATTTACTTTATAAAGACCTCCTTCCTCCCAGAAATATTGTTCAAGCCATGAAAAAATTAGTTCAAGCATCTAAGCAACTGCGAACCTACCCCTCCCCTAAACCAACAACAGTCAACTGATAACAACTTACGGTTAATGTTGGGCTCAGGGAGGGGTAGGTGCGCTCTTCCTAAGATACCAACATAATTGCATAGGACTTAAAAGAAGCTTTGTTTGACAAAAGGAAATGACAAGGTTTTTCCGTTTTCTCCCGGTTTGTTAACTCAGGCGCTCGGCCGGAGTTGTTCGAGTTAAATGACAAATGGCTGTCGAAGCTCACGCTGTCTAACTTTCCCCTGTAGGCTTCAAGAACTAGTTGAAAGCATTTGAGAACACAACTTCTGATTTTTTCGGGGAAAAAGGGGAAAAACCTTAAACCCCAAGGCTAAGATTAACCATTTCTAGCGCCTTAGTAGACGTACATATGCGTATAGTTTAAATACTGAAAACTTGAAAGACAATACCGTAAGGCTGGGAGCGTTAGGGTCTATTAGAAACCGCAAAACCGTAAGAAAAATCATCTAAAACCGCAAAAAAATTCGATCAAAACCGATCACGCATTCCTCTCGACAACATTTGCGTTTCGCGCCAACTCGTGATCAGTGGAGGCGCACAACTATCGCACAGATCGAAAAGAAACCAGAACCCAAAGCAGAAATACGAAAACCACACGTAATACCAAATCCAAAAACCCGTTAATATTTTTGACGAAAACCGAAAACCAAATGCTAAAAAACGGAAAATCCACAGACCGCAGTGAGCACCAAACCAGAAAACCGTAGTTTTTTGGTACAAAAACCGAAAAACCGATTTAAAAGATAGCCAAAATAGCAAACCGAAAATCCCAATGCCCCCCTCCGTAAAAGTTGTTTTAAGCAACCCACGGCCACTTGCTCCCTTCTGAACCTGTAAGCCTCTGATAAGCCCCCCCGCCTTTTCTTTAACACAGTCCACTACCAGGAGACAGCTCATGTTCTCTTGATTTGAACACACAAAACACTTCACATATGAACTTTGGATATGACTTTGGATATGAAGCCAGCAAGTTTCCTGCAGCTAATTGGCAGAGCATTCAACCAGGATTTTGGGACGAGACAGGGTTCCATTTCTTAAGAGAGACTCAGATTTTTGTTTGTCCAGCTTTCTTGATTATGTGAAAAGTGTTCCACATATTTCTTTACACTTACTAGCCTATTCTGTAGCACACACAGATCACAAGTGTTTTTAATACAACATTGTATAAAAATTACTACAATCATAATTTAGTCATTATTCAGAAATATTATTTTCAGAAGCTACACAGCCAATTTGCACTTCAGGAGGTGGGGAACCCAACAATTCACAACAAAAGAGAACTAAACAGCTTGCTAAAAACTTCTCTACACTTGAAATGAAGTTAGTTGATGTAAAACTTTTAAGATAGCAAAGGTCTGATGGAAGCTTCTTATTCAAGTCTCCATTACATACTTCAGAAGTCCCACACTTATGCTGTATTCCACCAAGCAATGAACAACAACCACAGAGAAAAAGAAAACTCCAAAGTCCTTTAAGGCAACCAGAAGAGCAGTAAAAAGAAAGTTGATTGTGTGGGTAAATTCTATTGGAATTCCACAAAGTTGCAATGCAACAGTGAGCAAGGAAATATAAGCTGAGTTGGATGTCTGGAAAAAGAAAAAAAAACCAGAAATTTATTTAATGGACAGAACCTTAACATACAAATGTAGCATGATACATATGTAAGGATTGCACTTAGCGCACATGTGGTGGGTGCAAAAATAAAATTCAAATGCTGCCTGTTTGGATTATTACATAATAATCATGATTTAACTTTGTGTCATGTAATAGTATAAACTCTTTTGATTTTGAGATCACATATATGATTTTAGTCCACACCACATTCAACTCACAAATAGAGGGAATAAGTTTTTAAAGAAACTGTAGTGTGGGTATAAAAAGATCATTCAGATTTATCAACTGAGTTGATAATGTAAATTGACTGATGTTTGTAGTGTAAGCCCTTCATCATATACAACGACATTCAACTCAGTTTGGTTAGCATGTTTATACATTGTAGGTGTTTCTCCACATAAAATGAAGTATTCCGTCACAGCACAAAATGTTTGTATTATACAAGTAACTTACCTGTCGGAAGCTTGGTACACAAACAAACAGTAACTGTAAAGCTAGGAATGGCCATATCATGGACTGAAATGAAATAAAAAGATTTTAAACAAAAATAGCCTACAGTTTCATGTAATTTTAGAATTGACTCAAACCTTTTCATGCACACTCAACACATTTCAATTATGCAAACTCAAAATAAAAATAAAACAAATTTATATGTGAACAGATAAATGAATAGATAGCTTATTGATTAACTGAATAAATCAGAAATATTAAGTAAGCTGAGCTCTCAAGTTAATCAACAGTTATCAAAATGGGCCACATAGAATTCTCTATCCATTTATGTGATTGGAGGTGGATATCAAGACAAACCTCATGTCCCACTTTGAGTTTGAGGGTAAAATGTTTCATTCAGGGAGAGACTTATCAAATCTACGATTACAGGCATGATGATGTCCATGTACACTGTACAATGTCATGTATTTGGTAGCCCTGGAATTCAACAACTGAACCTATAGTAAAGGAAACCTACAAATAGAGCGCTTAAAAATCCACACTGGCAAAAGGCGGACCAGTTAGCTATTTACATAGTGCAGCAGCAGTGAAGTTGAACTCAGGGTGAGCTACACTGCCTCCTTTGTATTGGTACAGTGCTTTCAATAAGATTTGAAGAGGATGGCTACCTCAGTAAAGCACCCACCAGAGAATATCATAAAATAACAATTTCCCTCTTGCTATCCCATTACTTCTGTTCAGAATAAACTGGCCTCAAATAGAGTTTTCAGTGTTAAACTTTGTAGGTGAACATTAAATATTCATATCCTTTATAAAAACTGTTTGACTAGCCGATCTTGAGGTGTTTTAGGTCTCACTTTGTGAGTTTGCTCAAAAGCTTCCAAAGTAAACCTGGCAATTCACAACAGAATACCTGCCAAAGCTTTGGAAGGTGTCGGGTCTAATTGAGAGCACTCTGGTACGGTATAGAGTGTATGGGTTGAAGAAATCACAGCAAGAGTAAAGTGTCTTTCCCATGAACACAACACAATGACACACACAAGGCTCAGACTCTGGCCTCTCAATCTGGAGTCCACCAGTTCTACCACGTCTCTTACAAATTAGCTCAATAAACAGCTTTATGTCAGACCCTACAAAAAGCAAGGATGGAGAGCACAGCTAATAGTCATGGTGCCCTTGACCACCACAAGTACCTTTCATTTTGACCACCACAAGTACCTTTCATTTTGACCACCACAAGTACCTTTTATTTTTAAGTTCACTTCCCATGTAAGTGAGAATTGTTTTTTGAACTTAACAAAGAAACAAGCTATGAAATTGACAAGGTAAGAAAGTAAGAGTACAAACAAGATAAAAGCTTTGTTATCAAGTTTCGTATGTTTTCGATTTTCATTGGCTTTCATCGAAAGTATTAAAGTCTCTTATTACAATGAGCAATCTGCACAAAATAAGTGAGTTATTACACAGGTTTTTTGAAGAGTATCTTTAGTGGATCTCATCATCTCTGTTTTTTTCCTGCTTATAGTTTTAAAACTATATTGAAAGTTTTAAAAATTATCATATTACCTGCACCTTCCCATAACCTGCACCAACAACTGTTTGTGGAAAAATTAACAGATTACCCACGGGTAATCAGCCAGAAATTACAGTACGTCACTTACAGGAGACCAATGGAAGAAAGTCTCAGATATCTTTAACTCTTTAACCCCTAGGAGTGGCTGGCATCTACCGGTAATTTCACCTTACGTTATCACTGATTAATCACACATTAAGGTCGCAAGAATTAAGAGGAATGATCAATATCTGAAGGAAATATTGATTGTAAACACATTCTCGTTGTCAGTACCATGCAAATGTATAGGTAAGGGTGAGGAGAATATGCATGCTGATTTTACACAGTAGTATTCCCTTCCAAAATGCACTCTTCCACCATATCTGGCTCCAAGGATAAGTACAGTACAAATAATCAAGAAAATGGCAGGTATATCAAACAATTATTCCACAAGCTCTCATTGGATATGAGATGGTAAATGGCCAACCAGGCCTGTAGGGCCAAGTTGACTATAATCATCTCACATCCAACACGCCTGAGTGGAATAATTGTTTCATTAAAAACACTCCAACATGTAGATAAATCTTCCCAACGTTGTTTTGCAAACTTCTTTTTTTTGACATGTTCACTTACCATATTACCACATTTGTAAAGCAGAGTATAATGGCTGATAACCCATGATGGCTAGGCCGATATCATGACATCATCATACTTAAGGCTTCTTACCTCTGACTTGACCAAAACAGCCTCATTAGAAACATCATTGCGGCTGTTCTCACCATTGATTGAGAATAAAACCTCTAAGTTCACATAAGTCCACCTGATCACCAAAGAGAAAGCCAGTATGACAACAAAAACAGTTCGAGTCCAAATTGCAGTACTGAAGCCGGAAGATTCATCACTGTGTGTCTCGTTAACAGCTGCTGTTGAAGGAAAAGTGTTATGTGATCGCGATTGAGCTGATGTAACTTTAGGTAAACATTTTACCTCGTTGTCTAAAAAGGAATTTTCGTTAGCTTCTGAGTCCTGCGATCCACAGTTATTTCCCTCCGCTGGATACATATCGGAAATTTGGTCTCCTTGGTTTTTTTCCACTGGCAATTTCTTATTTTCTCCAGTTGTATAATCACTTTCTTTCGTATCGACTGACAGTATATTCTTGCAGGAATTATCTGCATTTCCCACGGAAGAAGAATTGGAAATATTTCCATCTACAACAAGATTAGACTCTGAATTATCAGGATGGCTTGAACGACTGCCTAGAATTCTCTGAAGGCGACTCTCAGAATTTTCCAGTACTTTTTTCCTTCTCTGTGCACGGCGCTCGGCGGCAGACATTTTGGATAAGATAACTTCCTCCCTAGTCCTCCCCTACATTAGCTACCGTGGCAATCTGGACTAAACTTGTCGACACTCTCTAAGAATAAGTACTTCATTTAAGCTCACACAAAGTGATGAAAAAAAACAACGATGGTCGTAATTTTCAATTTACAAAATTCTCATTTATTGACTTTGTCCTTACCGACAGAAGAAGTCTGTCAGGTAAACGGCCAAAATCGGCCAGTGGCAAATCTTCAAGTTGCCGATTTTCATTCTCAGCCGCGAGAAATCTCAACACCAAAGCCACTGAATACGTAACTTCGGTTTTTCTTTTTGTTTATTAGTTTTATCCCCTTCCGAAAAAGTTTGAAAAGCTGTAGCAACACACGTGAAAAAAAACTATATTTTTTCACATGTGTTTGATATCGCCAATCAGCTGCTGACACGTCACTCGCCTTTCGCGCCACTCGGTCAAGTTGATGAATGAAGGGCAAAGCTTTCCATTCTCAATCAAAGGTCGTTTGTCGGAATTTTTTTGGATTATGGCTGCTAAAACACTGAAAAATCCGTATCGCTTTAAGACAGTGACTTTCAAACGTTCCTAGTAGGGGAAGAAAACCAAAGTAAGGAAAGAAAAACCGAAAGTTACGTATTCAGTGGCTTTGGTAATGGCATTTCTCGCGGCTGAGAACGAAAATCGACAATTGGAAGATTCGCCACAGGCCGATTTTGGCCGTGTACCTGAAAGATTTCTTCTGTCGGTAAGGACCAAGTCAATGACTAAGAATTTTGTATATTGAAAATTACTACTATTGTTATTTTTGTAATCATGATTCAGCGCATTTTTCCATCTTAAGAGTTAGCGCCAACGCACTCTACGACGGGGATTGTCGATTCATTTATTTTCATACATCAAGAGTCAACTTTTCTTGTCAGTAAAGGGCTTTTGCGTTTATATGATAAACAAAATAACACATGGTTGCTTGTCGATATAAAAATTTCTCTTCTCGTGTTAAACTCGACATCTCACTCGTTCGCTGCGCTCACTCGTGGGCAATCGAGTTGCACACTCGAAGAGAAATTTCATATCTTGGCGCACCATGTATTATTCTCTATTTACTAACAAACTTTACTCCTTCTCAGCTCTATACTTCCCCATTTATACTCACAATATAGCAGCAAAAGTCCCTACACAGCACTTAGCTGAAAATAAGGCACCACGTGCCTCTGTAAAACACAGCAATATACACAGAAACACCCCGTAGTGCTATATAGCATAGGGATATACGGCGCCATACCTTAACTTTAGCAAAGCGGTGGGAGCAGTGCTGAGTTCCTGGTAGAAAATTCAGATTTTGCCCCATGGGTTTCGGTATCAGACGAAGCAAATTTTGGTAATTTCACGTCGTTGTTTAGTAGAGGACGACTAAGAAATGTACACATAGGTAATGACATGATTTCGAGTGCAACTGGTTTTAATAATCACGAAAAAAAATTTTAAAGACAACAAAATTGCACGAGCCCGTAGGGCAAGACCCGATTGGTAGTCTTTGAAAAAATTTACAAGTGCTTATTACACAAAATTGCAAGAGAAATCATGTTATCACTTGTTAATCATGTATATGAAAGAACACCCAGAGAGTCAAGAGAGACGATACTTTGTAAGCGTGCGCGCGCTATTTGCAAGTTACACTCGTGTTACATGAAAATGCAGTTGTTTTCAACCAATCAGAAGCGCGTATTTTTTCATATGCGTTTTTGAAAGTTTTGAGACTCTGAAAAGAGTCTGAAGAGGTATCGCTTTGATAAACACTCAGGCTTGTTGTTCAAAAACTGATTTACCATTTATTTTCATTTCATTTTATTTTTATTTAAACACGGTCAATTCATCAGCCTAAAAAATACATATCACACACGCTAAAATATTTAAAACTCAAACTATATACAATAACACTAAAAGCTGTTTTCCGTGAGTGCCGTGCGTTAGACTTAAAGAATTTCATTGATCTTACGTTTAAATACCCCCAGAGACTCCGTGTTCCTTATATCGCATGGTAGACTGTTCCATAATATGGCGCCATTGTAGCTAAAGCTTTTTCGGTAATAATTAGTGCGCGGTAATGGAACATTGAGCTTATTTTCAGAGTCCCTGAGGTCATTAGCAGAGTCACGCCACGTAAACTTTGAACACAGATACTCTGGAGCTAGCCCGTGCAGACATCTAAACATCATGGTGGCTTTGTGAATTTCCTGCTGGCGTGTAAGATTTTTCCACCTTAAAAACTCGAGTAGCTCAGTTGCATCAGCATCATAGTTAGAGAATGTCAACACACGGGCTGCTCTATTCTGCAGTTTGTCTCGTAGCGTTTTCCCACAGTTACCCCAAAGTGAGGTTTTACTAAGGCTTGGTAAACGAGATGTAAGATTAATGCTGGGATCAGGTGCCTAATTCGCTTTAGGGCCCCGATACCAGAGGCGATCTTTTTGGTTAATTTTTCGATGTGACTATGCCAATCGAGTTTATCGTCTATTATTACACCAAGCGATTTCGTAGCTGTAACCTGGCTCACTTGAGTATTGTTCATTGTAATTGTTGGTGAAGCTGTGAGAGTATTCAGTCTCTACCTCGACCATATTAGCATGAATTCGGTTTTGGTCATGTTCAATGTAAGTTTGTTTGCTTGTAGCCAGTTGAAAACGTTTGCTAGGTCTTCATTTAGACAAAACTGAACATTCTCGAGATTACTGCCCGCATATGTAAGGTGCGTGTCGTCAGCGTACATTCTTGGTTTACAATTTGATAAGCAATTTGGAAGATCGTTAATATATAATAAGAACAATAATGGACCGAGGATGGTCCCTTGAGGGACGCCGCATGTCAGTGAGTAGCTATTGGAAAGCGACCCGTTCATAGAGCATTTTTGTGTGCGGTTTTCTAGATATGACTGAAACCATTTGAAAGATTTGCCATGTATACCATAATAGTTTAGTTTCGATAGAAGAATCTGATGATCAACAGTGTCAAAAGCTTTCTTCAAATCCAGAAAAATTACTCCATTGATTTTCCCGTTATCAATATCATATGTCCAAGAATCTGTCGCTTCCAACAAAGCTGTTACAGTTGAATGATTAGCACGAAAACCTGACTGATTTTGACAAAGAATATCGTGATCTTTCAAATAGGCATACAACTGTTCATAAACTATCCTTTCAAACGCCTTCGCCACTATTGGAATCACCGATATTGGGCGGTAATTGTTTACATCACCGCGGTCACCCTGTTTATAAAGAGGGGAAACCCTTGCATATTTCCAGTCATCTGGGAACGTCCCTTGGTTAATAGATTGATTGAAAATATCACATATCGGCACACAAATAAGATCAGCACATTCCCAGACCAACCTAGCAGATATTTTGTCAAGGTCCGTTGCCTTTGACTTGTCTAGTTTATTTAAAAGTGAAATACTTTATTTGGATCGGTGGGTTGGAGCTTAAACCGTTTATCTGTAGCGGTAAGATATCTTTGATAGCTACCACTATCGCAATTTATCTCACTGGCAAGTTTTGGACCAATATTAACAAAGTGGTTATTGAATTCGTTTGATAGCTCCAACGGATTAGTTATCGTTAATCCGTTCACTTTTAGTGACGCCACTGACGTTTTCCCAGATTTTCGAGAGGTTAGCTCGTTTATAGTCTGCCAGGTCTTTCGGGAGTCGTTGGTGTGCTTATTAAAACTATTTTGGTATTAAACTAGCTTAGCTGAGCGTATTTGCTTATTGGTTATATTTCTTTGTTTCTTAAATAATGCCCAATCGTTAGGATCATTTGTCTTGCTAGCTTTGATTTTTAATATGTCCCTATTATGCATAGAGTCTTTCAATTCAGAGGTAATCCATAAAGAACTCCGTGAACGAACACGCATCGTTTTCAGTGGGGCATGTTTGTCAGCAATAGCTAGAAATGTACATTTCCATTGCTGGTACATCACGTTTGGGTTGGAAGACTCATATACATTATCCCAACATTGAGATAGGATGTCATAACGAAAATTTCGACGATCGAAATTTGGGAAATTTCTATATGTAATAGAATTATGTCCATTAGACATTCCGTTCTGGGCAAGTTTTCTATATACAAACACCATGCTATGATCACTTATCCCGATGTGACAAACTCCCGAACAAACGATCTTATCTGAGCAGTTGGTATAGATTAAATCAATTAGAGTTGAAGAGGTGGGTGTTATCCTCGTTGGTTCAGAGATGAGCTACTCGAGTCCGTAGACATCGGCAATACTCCTTAATTTGGATACGTCATTGTCATATCGAGTAGTGATCATATCACAGTTCATGTCTCCCAGTACAAAAGATTCTACATTTTCACTATCCAATTTTCCAATTAGGGATTCAAAAGGTGAAAAAATGCCAATAGGAGAGTCAGGTGGTCTGTACCAAGTAACAATCACAAAAGGATTTTGAATTTGGCTTATGGATTTCCAAGCAAAGATTTTCTAATGCATCCATATGTAGGTCATTTCGTACAGTAAAGTTGATTGAGGTTTTTACATAGAAGCATACCCCTCCGCCGGATTTTGTAAGTCCATCGCGGCGAATTATTTCGTATCCCGAAATATGAACTTCATGATCTCGAATACTCTCGTTCAGTTTCGTTTCATTTATGGAAATAATATCGATATCATTGTTTGCTTATAGGATTCTTAGCTCGTCTATATGAGTTGTTAATTGATTAATATTGAATGATGCCATTTTAAAACCGCGCAAAGGAGGCAATAGTGAGATAGATTTTTCGGCTCTTTGGTTGCTTAATCGGTCCCGCACGGCATTGACGGAAATTTAATAGGTGGAGATGAAGTGAATTGAAGTGAATGAAGTGAATTCCTAAAGCGCAGACAGTGACCTTCACAACAAAACAAACTAACAAAAATAGGGCAGGTTAAATGAATACCAAGATGAGACGGGTAAAAAAAACTTACCAAATGCAATGAATAATTTTACAAAATCGGAAGGGGTTATGACGCACAGCTAAAAATAAAACACACACTGCTATAAGGGCGTGAAGTATGAAATGTATTGGGCGGCGTAATTCTCGTAAAGCGCTAAAATAATAATTCATATAACGAAAGAATTGCTCGTAAATTAACTGGTGCGAGGTGCATAATAGGTGTTAAGGAAAATAACGAAATAAATAATTCACCACAACAGAGTCTCACGATATTTCCTGTTAGAATTTTTTTGTCTTCCAGTTTCAGTTGGGCAGAATTGCTGGGTCTCCAGTTTACGGTGAAACTCGTAATTATATTTCTTAGCGAGAATTGATTCTTCACGCAGTAAAAATGGGGAAAAAATAAATCGGTTATCAATGATCTACATGGATGTTAGGCTTAGTCAAGTTTTTGGCAAAGGATTAAATTTATTACGTAACAACAGAGGGTCTCAGTAGGGTGATGGCTTTTCCGGTTATTGTTAAAATTTTGGCCATTTTATGGCTAACAGTTGATTTATTTTCGTTCATGTTCACAGAAAGTTTTCCTTTTCACACTTTTTACGACTTACGGTTAAAATTTGTCAATTTTCAGGCCCAACAGCTTAATCATTTTTGCTGCGTCTTACCACTAAAAGTTCACCCCATCGAGACACTCATCCCCCACACAGTTTACATAAAATGTGAACCCTTGAATAGTGATGAGGTTGGCCGTTTGTGGGAACGAAGATTCATTCTGTTTGCAGATTCTCAAAATGAACGTTTTTGCGTGTGTTTGAGATATATTTCTCCACACCGACACCATGCTATTCTTAACAATTTCCGTAATTTGTCAGTTATCATCCGCATCGCAATGGTTCGAAATGCTGCATATATTTACTTGTGTTGGAGAAACCCTATAAGTGTTTAAAATTAAGAAAAGACTAGATCCTTTTTTGTTTCCATGACTTATTTCACATTTCTTATCTTTTGATACTAGCGTCACGTAATTAGATCATTTTTCTTAAGGAACTAGGAAATATGGGGAAGGAATTCACTTTAAAAGGGCAATTAAACTCGGTCAGTGAAACGTTTCAATTGTGGGCGTTGATAACTAGTTTAGGATAAGCTTTTTCCTGCTATAAACGGCGAGCGTCTAGTCATTCCGACTCCTCCTGATTTATCTATCTCCTCTTTAAGACTTTTATTTTTCACAGAGTTGCCTAAATTCAACGACTTAAGCCAAGAGTGTCAGATTCTCAGAACTATCACAAAAGTTATTCCTCTGCTATCTGCCGAAAAGTTAATTTTTTTTTAATTCTGATACTGCTTTATGATCAGACAATACCACGATGCTCGATCTCGTTATTTCAAACTCTACATTAAATAAAATCTTAGGTATTCTTCTCCGTAATGTTTTTACGTAACTAAGTCTGAAAGCAAGTTTTACCCTGTTACTGAAACCATTTCTTGGGGTATTCTTTGAATAAAACCTTCCGTGATCGAATGGCTTTCAGTACTTAAACGGAAAAAGGTACTTACAACGTTTAAAATGAATCTGAGGATGATTGTATTGTTGCCAAATCATTGGGTGTCCTCTAGTATTTGCTTATATGTTTGAAATGGTCATGATTTGCTCTTTCTATCCACTCAACAAAATATCATCGAAAATCTAAACAACGAATAAGACTTCATTTCCGTCGGGCGCCTTTTTCACACCTTTTTGCCGCAATTTAAAAATGAACTGCCGAGCCGCTTTGAGAACATTAAGATTTCAGCTTCTACCTCGGCCCAACACCGTTCGGTTTTCCTCAGCTCCAAGAGACTTGAGACACTCCACCCGTGTCGGACGAGATTTTGGATTCGAGGAAAAGGTTCGCAACAATTTACGTCTCATGACGAAGTTTAATCTGTGTATAGTGATATGACATTTATATATGTGTGTGTGTATGGAAGATACACTTTTTTAAGTGAGACACTCGTTTTTTCTTGATTGTGGCTGCGCATTCTTATCCGCAAAATTCAGCGACAATAACATTGTCATAGTACGGGATCTTTGCTTAAAAAAAAAAAGATCATCCAGAATAGTGGCTATTTTTAACAGTTTCTTCGTCATCAATGTAGCAAGACAATTTATTCCGCTCCATTTGGAAATGATCGATTTCTTTCGAAATGTTCATACATGTTTTGAAAAATTTAAAAAAGGAAGGAAGTCTCTATATCTTCTAGGTTCCTGCCCACATGACGGATGTTTAAAAAAAAACTTATTTGCATATGAAATTAAAACAGTATATCTCCACAGACTTCTGAAATGTTTTTGTCGTGGTCCAGACCTAGGAAGTCGTTCTTTTATAAACTTCTTCATTACGGAAACAAATCATGTTTTTTAGGTATTTTTTTCACTCACTAACTATCCATTTTGTTTCTTCAGTTTCCGATCCCAAACAAAGGATACTTTTTCGTAAATTAAGGAAATATTTCCTAATGAATTGGGTTAATCATTCGAGATTAAGCAAGATTAAGCACTCTTTTGTGGTCTTAAATTAATGTCATTAATGAGACTTATTTGATAAATTAAGTTTGGTAATCCTCTTAAAATGAATTTCAAATTTTATGAAAGTTTCATAAGAAAACGTAATTATCACCGGTGCGATCTGGACTATTCTAATATCCATCAGTTCCAAAGACTTGCTACGAGTACGATAATGAAAATAATTCTTCGTGAGATAAAGTAGACGGAGAGCAAATGAATTTGAATCTCTCATGCAATAAATCATTAGTGAAAGAGAAACCTCGGACTTCTAGATGATGTTTCAGTTATTTACTCTATTTCTCTATCAGTAAATAACTTAAATGAACAGCCAGCCGGTAGAATGCTTTTCAAGAAGGATAAAATCTCTGCGAATAATCATCTCAAGGCGTTATTTCGGAACGACTGCGAGAACGTCTGATTAAAGGCGAGCGAACGGTTGCAATTTCACAACGAACAATCATAGAAAACACTTGAAAGTTCTAAATTCGAAAAATTAATGGGAGAGATTTTTCTTGACATTGGTTGCTTTAATTCAGGGTTGAAGCTCAGCAAATGGTACCCTCCCAGAGGAACATCAGGAACAATGACATTTCATTTATCTTCTCAAACATTTGAAAACCGAAGCGAACATCACTTCGTGCTTATAAAATCGCTATTTTAATCCTTAAATTCGAGTCAGCTGGTCCTTTCTGTTTCACTTACAGTCAACAATTGTTATTATTTTACAGAGGCAACTAAAAGTTTAATTAATTTTCAACCTTGCACAATGGTATTCAAAAGAAAAGCAAACAACGTTGTTTTCGAAAGTTCTTCACGAGCAAGTTATGTTGGTTTTTCCGTTTGGCTGAGGCGTTACGTAGACTTGAGTTGAAAAATAAATATTTTTTCACAAAGCTGATTTTTCCACGAGAGCACTTTTACGATAAGTAATAGCATTATTTCATCGAAGAAAGGTTAATTAAGCACGAAAGGAAAAAGAAGAAGTAACGGATTTATTTATCTGTTTCCTGTACATTGTAGAAATATTACAACTTATTTATTCAAAAAATGAACTTCGCTCGGAGGAATAACGAGCCATCGACGATTAAGAATTTTTGCACATTCTGGAAGCAAAAAAGTAATAGGGGAAATGAACTTTTCTCTGATAAAAATAACAATATGAATCTAGATTTCTGCGTAAATTTAGATTTCTGTGTAAAATTTTCTGCTCGTGTACGTCATAGGAAGCGTGTGGGCTTGGATAACTTATGTCGAATTGCACAATCGATGAACCAGATTTCATTTGATCGAGTTGGAACAATGTCACCAAAGTGAAAAAAGAAAGGGAAATTACAGAGACCTACAACTGAGTTATATGACCGCCAACAGCTTGAAAACTAGTGCAGTTTTTGATTTCTCCAATTCCCTTTACATCGACCTGTAACAATACTTTTAGTATGAAAATTTGCGCACTAAATGAATTGTTCGCAATTTCCTCAGCATGTGATGTAATTGTTCGCAAAGAAAGTCAATTTCCTGAGAGGTTCGTTCAAAATTGATGCTAACTGGATGTAAATAATGTGTAAACGAGGTTTACCATAAAAGCCGCTTTCTTTTATTCTTTGTTAATTCTTTGAAGCTTAGAAAACGTTGACAAAAAAAACTATCGTCACCAACAGGGCATAGTTTTTAGAAGGCTACAAAATAAAAGTGCGTTGCTCCGCTGTTGAAACGCACTTTAGTTCCGCTTTGATGATAGGCAGCTTACCAGCCAATTTTGCAAGTTTCTCTCAGGCTCCATCTTTGTTAAGCTAGAAGCTTTTCATATCCCTTAGAGGTGAGATTTTTTCTAATTTTTAAACGAGGTGCAGATGCTAGGCTGTGTTGGTGCATGTTGTAGAATAGCAAGTAGTCATGTCTTATCATGCCGGATTCCAGTCCGTCTGCGAGAAGAATCTTTCAACATGTGAATATGATTTCACTTAATTTCAGAAAATTAACTCTAAGACATTCCGTTAATCGTTCAGTTCTACTTGATGAAAAGCGGTTGTAATCCAATGAGATTCAGAGTAAGCGCCCATAGTTTTTCCGTTCCAATTTTCCTGTTCCACCACCCTGATCCGGTGTGAAACTACAAACAGAGAACTAATTTCTCAAAAATACTGTTGAGCAGTATTTTCACATGAATCTGACGTGAAGTAAGAATCGTAGAGCATAAGTGAAGCCGAAATTCAATGTCTTATCATTACACAGTAATCGTTGCAAGATGCGTTTTCCGTTGTTTACAATAGTGAACAAAATTGGTAGCGAACGTCCTCATTAGAAAACTTATGTCCACAAGACTACATGAACAGAATATCCGAAAATGAAAGAAGATATTATTCAGTGAATTACATAGGCATACTCGGAGAAAAGAACTACGACCTTCCGATCAGTACTTCGGATGCTCTTCCACTGAGCTATAGAGGAATCCTGGCGGGTTAGGCCGTTGAACTATTCCATGCTGACAAAGTTCCTGCATACTGCTGGGATAGGAATGTCAATATGAGACGTCTATGTTCAATGATGATGTGAATGATGAAAATATCAGAATATGTTGCAAGGAAATTCATTTCGGCTATTTAATTCCAGCAAAGCTGCTGAACAAGCCGTCTATCTTAGCCGTCAATTTATTTTCAATTTACTTCCCAATCATTTTTTTAAGTGTGTACGACATACATGTAGGTCTACTAGTTGAGTGCGCACAGATTCTTGACTGAAAAAACCTATAGCAAGGAACCATTTTGCTGGCAGACCAGACGAATAGCCTCACTCAACCTATCTCGGAAGTTTTACTGTTTGCTCAGTTACTGAACAGAGAGCATTCCTATCTTAATTGAATCGCTCAACTTATATGCTTGAAACTCATTGCGATATGGTTCTTCAAGTGCGCTGTCCTAAATAATGTTTGTATCGTTAGCGATCAGTAACCCAGTTGATGAAGGCTTCGTAAAATAAATGAACAATGTGTAACCAAGTTGAAAACTACTCTCTGGGAAAAAAGCGAGCTTGGAATAAAAGACCTTAACGAGTCAGCCCTTGAAAAAGGCGAAAGAAAATATTGAAAAACAAATAGACCATCAGGATATAAGCACGCTGATAAACTAGGTTCCTAAAGTGGATGTAGAATTCAGGATCAGAAAATTATTTTTGTCTTTTTTTCAATTTTTCCTTTCGTAATCAACGAAATTAATTATTAGAAATGAAGCAGAACGAATATTTTTAACCTAAATATGCGCCAACAGAACAATGAATTAATCACAATACAATCAACTGCAGTCGAACCTGCACTGAGCGGCGACATACTAAGCGGTCACCCTGTATGTAGCGCTCACCTTCTCCTACGCGGTCGTTTGTTAAAGAAAAATATTTGTTCCCCTTTAATCACTTTAACTGTCACCTCTATTAAGCGGTCGTAGTCGCGAGTCCAAACGGCGTGTTTGTATTGTCTCACACCTGTTTTAAACGGACACTAAAGCGGAACCACTCAAATAAAACTAACAACAATCTTTGAAGTAAAATTTAATCCATATATCTCCCGCAAAATTAACATTCTTAGAATTTTGAGCAAGATTTTTAATATAAATGGTTAATTATTGGCACAAAGTGACGTTTTTATCGTTTTGCATCTTACCCCTTTTATGCGTAACCTGCATTAAGCGCCAATCCCCGTGGGTGACCGTTTAATACAGTTATGACTGTAGTATGTCTAGCCAAGAGAATATTGATAGTCTCTTGGTTTAGCTTTTTTTAACTCTTTCCTTTTAAAACATGAGAGACCAGTTATCATTGTGCGGTGCAGAGGATTTTTGGGACATGGTTTTCAGGGGGGACGTATGGGAAACAGTCGTCGATAACAGAGTATAAGGGGGAGTGGATAAAAGAAAATTATCCCATTTTCCTCCTTTAGAAACCTTGCTCGGGAGCAAGGTTTTCTGATGGGGTCAACTATCCAGTTAGTGCATTGTTGTAGTGTAGAAAAAATATATTTAAACCTTAAATTTCAAATGAGGTAAATTTTATTGTGAAACTAAAAAGTCCCCCGACCCTTCCCCCTTACCCCCTTCCCCTCTTTCCCTTTTACCCCCCCCCCGTCCCTTTCTGTAATAAAATATGCTTTAAAACGGAAGAAAATAAAATGCAGAAGAAATTGTGTGCACATTTTTAAATGAAATTCTTGCGATACTTACTGAAATGAAGTGGAAATTGTCTTTTCTTAGATGAACGACATACTCAAAATCTTGATGCTCCTGATGATTGCTGCCAGCACGATGGCACAGGATGCCTCACAAAGCGATAGTATTGCGGTGAATCACAGTGAACCACAGGACACCGCACAACAGAGTGACTTGGCTTCAGCAATCAACAAACAACATCCTAGCAGATTGGAACCGTGTTTTCCACTTTGCTTTCCGGACTACGGCAAGCGAGAATATCTAGTTGGAGAAAGGGCTGAAAAAGACTTGTTGAACACAAACAAAAGATCCCTGTTTAAACAAGTCAAAGGTTTCATTCCACAGTTTATATGGAAAACTTTCAAACGAGAACAAGCATTAGAAGCAATTAAAAAGAGTGGAATTCATTAACCTCCACTGGGAAGCAGGCAAATATAGACACAAGGTTAGTAGCTTGTTTCTTTATCTTATCAATGTGGTTGGACTGTATAATTTTTGAGATAGTTCTCTCTGTGTTCACATTGCTTCTTCAGCTCCTGCGTAATATGATAATACAAGTTCTCGCGGCAAACTCGACTCAGCTGTCACTATGATAAATTTGTGGACACGAGGAAACTAATGCATGCCCTACCAACATACCTGGGTCGTATTATGTACTTATTGACTGAGTGGGCGACTGGGGGGGCCGGACAGGAGAATATTTGGCACGAGATCATGACTTAGGGACCTAGGGCAGCGAGTTCAATGCGTCATGACCAAGAGCCAAATATTTTCCCGTCGGGCCCCAGTCTCCCACTCAGTCAATAAGCATCTTATCATATGACCAATAAATGTTACAAAATTTCGAAAATTTTTTTCGAAATTTTTTTCAACCTAAATAGTACGCGATAAACGGATGCAAGCGGGACAACTAGAAAAAGACTCTACGATAAACTTCCCCCTTTGTTTCTTCGAGTCAGAACAAGAAACTCAGAATTCATCGAAAAACGCGCCTATTTTGCTACTTTCTTTTTCCTTTAAGTTTTTTGCGACAGAGCCGTGTGAGTGTAGTACCGGTAACCAATCAAAACACAAGATTCGCTTCATACTGCCCGAAGGCACTGCCAGCGATATGATATGTTCACTTCCTCTCCCTGTTGTAAGAGCCAAAACATTTTTATCTTTTTATCTTTATACTATCAATTAGTATAAAGAATCTTTCAAATGAGCGCTCTTATTCTTCCACGTTTTTCATTTACCTAATTAATTCTTGTGTTTTTTACGTTACCGTGTTCCCACCAAAAGCGTGACTCCATTTTTCTGCATTCAAACCCCACGCAAGCCACAATTCCTCTATTCGCTCTGACGAAGGGCTCATGTTCAAAACGTTAGCCTTAGCCACTCTTTTCAGCGGCCAATTTTCATCATCATCTCATTTAATCAAATCAAATTATCTAACCATCAGTGTGTAATTTTTGTATTATTACAGGGCCGCTGAGAGTATGAACAGTTAACAAGCTTAACCAAGAAAGCGCATGTGTTCTTAAAATGAGGCCATAGGAAGAAATGAAAATCATAAAAATTTTAAAGATTCCAAAGAAAAGCATCGCTCTACCAATAAAAGACTATTATCCTCAATAAGACCGTAGTCTTTTTTGGTCTCTCTTATCATTTAAACAACTTTGATGGTAATGATAAAATTTCCATAAATAAAACGAAAACAAAGATTCCAAACAACGACCTCAAACATTTCGATTGACAAGCTGTGACTTGTGCCATTCACTCTTTATTATGAGGGGATTCTGTGGGGGAGGGGAAGAGGAGGGGAGGGGAGGAGGAGAAGATGAGGGGAGGGGAAGGGGAAGGGGAAAGGGAGGAGAGGGAAGGGGTGGGGAAGAAAGGGGAGGGGAGGAGAAGAAGGAGGGGAGGGGACGGTAGGCGAGGAGGATATTACAGAACGAAGGTAAAACAGGTTAAACACACTCGTGTTTTCTAGTCGGTTGACTTTTTTGTGTGGCATGGTTCCATTTGATAATTCTCTTCTATTAATCATTCGACCCAGAAATAACGAAATTCCAATACCTTTGTTTTACGAATTATAGTCCCGAAATCATCAAAAAATTATTTCATTGCGCCGAAGACTGCAAAGAAGTTAAATCACTTTGGAATTAGCAAAATCTAAAAAAAAAGGGCCCTAAAGGTCCAGAATAAATGAAAAAGAAAAAAAGAACGTTACTGAACAGCCTTTCCCTATTCCAAAGCAGGAATATTTTGTTGTGTTTTACGTTAGAAACAAGACGGAAATCTATTTTAAGACAGAATAGATGACAGACCACCCAGGCTGACCGGAAAACCGGCAACTCGTAACAGCTGAGAATGTCCAGAAACAGTTGCCAAAAAGAAAATAGCAAAAACGAATTAAAAAATTTCCTGAGTTGGACGATAGCATCACAGCACGGTTTATTCTTTGACGAAAAAAAAATAGACGAGATTTGTAAAGATGTGCTTTATTTCAAAGCTTCATCTTACACCTTTACTCTGGTGTGTAGAAATTTTTCCCATTTTAAAAGAAAATAAATAAAGCAGTATCCCCGGAAATGAATCTATCGTACTTAGCAATCTTTTTTTGAGGACATGAAAGACAAAGGGAAAAGTTGTTTCAATCAGAAGAAGAAATTCCAGATTTTTTTATTTCATTCTGAAATAGAAATCGTTTGATTTAATTCAGTGTTTTTGTTTCGGTACTTGTGTTTTATTCTGACTGGATCATTTGAAACCCTCGACTTGTTCCCTTTAATCGTTGGCAAAATGCACGAATCTTGTCAAACTGTGGGATTGACCTCTGTTTATGTATAAAGTTAAAGCATTTCTATCTAGCTGAGAAGATACTGTAGCCAATATAAAATTTGGCACGATAAGGCACTGCCAAATGGCAAGTTATTCAAGGTGTTTTTAATTTTCTTGACACTTTCTCTAAGTTAGATTGAATTGTTTTCCAATTTTTTTATCCGTGTAATTTTTTTGCATATATTTTTACCATGTCACTGACCTATGCCACCGTGCGGGTGATTCTCCTCCATGAGAACAGAATGCGAAAATTGAAATTTAGCGACTTTTAGCGACATTTAGCGACTTTTTAGCGGTTTTTTAAGCTAAGGCTTGGAAAGCCAACTCCCCAGTTCGAACTTCTAGCTCACAAGTCTCGTGCTACCTTTTCAAGGCCACGGCCCTAAAAAAGTACAGAACTGTGATTTCATATCTCCAACAAGACAGCCATTTCCTTCCGTTTTCTTTAACTTATAAAATATTTTGGTTGTCTTTATAGTCCCATCCAATCTACTGAGCAGATAGTCTTTTTAATCAGCTCGTAAAGTATGCTGACTGTTACACGACCTTCATGCCTTGTTTCCTTTCTTATCTATTGCAACACTTTATAAGAAAAAGGTGTCACATGGCTGAATACGTTGGACGGTATACAAGCGTTTCATTCTCACTAGAAAAGCAAATATTATTGCCAACAATTATATACTTTTTTCTTGTTAAAAGGGATAGAAACTCCGGCTAACTGTTTGAATATCTAAATCCAAAAGAGTGCGTTACTTTGCATGTGTCTTAGGTGGCATTGTGACCATGGTAACGTCTTGGTTTAAGATATCCACTTTAACGTTTAGGCCATAACCCTGCATTCCTCACCTTGGAACAAACAGAATTAAAATAACCACTTACTTAGAAAAGAATAGATACTTCAGTTACAACATTATTTTATGATGAGAGTAGAGATACTTTCAAAACCCCTCGAACAAAAAGCAGATGGCAATAGAAGATATTTCTAAAATTCCTCCAAAAAACTTGCCCATTAGTTCATGTCAAATCAGATAATTCTCGGGGGGTTACTACCAGTACTTGAAATTTTCCATTTGCACTTCCTATTTTGAGTGACAGCCGCTTGTGAAAGGGGCTTCTAGTCGTTCCGGTTTCTTAACCTTGGCGCATTTTGAAACGCAGCCATATAACTGAAAATCAAACAATACGGATTCAGTCCTTATCTCACAATAGTCAGTCGTATCTCAAGAGTTTCTCGTTTATTTAGGACCCTGGACTATTTAAAACCAAAATATGTTGTGTACAGAAACACGATCTATAATAATTCCGACGCGACTTAAATCAGGTATGCACCTTTGAAGGCAGTGTCAGATTCTGCTGGAGACCAGCGATCTGAACAACAGGCGAAGAGCTGTAGTGAATCTTTGAACGAAAGAAAATCTGTGCAGTATGGGTAAGTAGTAGACATTTTATCTGAATGTTGTTAGGGTGCATTACCTATCAGCGTCTTAAACCATCATAAGTCCGTGTGCTCTTTATAAAATATCCAGGCTTACTGAGAATGATTTGATTATCGTCACAAATTTGCCACTCGGGGAATTCTCTTCCAAGAAATCTTAGATATGATGGAGCGTCAATCCCCAGTTTTTTCTCCTTGATCATGAAGAGCGAGATGTTACGCTCCTAGGTTCATAATTGTTCAGTAATATCTGAATTGAACCCAACTGAAGCGAATAGGGCGCCTTTCATTAAATTTGTACTCTCTAGAAATCGATAATGGTCCGACAATTTGGCACAGCTTTCGACAATTAAATTGACGGTAGGATATGAGAGCAAAGAAGGGATCCATAACGAATCGTCAGTCTTGTTTGGAAAAAAAAAACTCTTTCTTTCTGTCTTTATGTCAAGAGGCACGACAAGGAGCCGTTCCTTTTAATCCAATTTTGAAACAGCTACCCAAAAATCACCACTCTATTTTTCCTGAATAGAATTTTGCCTGATGTGTCGCAGTTATGTTCGATAAAACGCTGGAAAAAAATCCGTCACTTCTGATAGTTTGAGAGCACCTCTAAACTGAAAAACAGAGCGGATGTATCGGTCAATAGGGGTGCATATACGCATGTACATCAAATTGTCATTGACCTTACTATGGCATCAATCGTTGCAGCAAAATTTCAGTTGGAAACTTCTCGTTCTGTTGCAATGATTAGTTAACAGTAGGGAAGATGTAGGCGAGGTTGTCTTTTCTTAGATATTTTTAACCTTTTATCGACTACTAATTGAAAGAACAGCGGATGGCACCGTGTCAGATTAAGTAATTAGTCGATGAAATATAACCGTTTGTCAGTTCTATTGCTGTTATTTAGAGGGCAAGCCGAGACCGATGGTACGAAATCAATAATGAGTGTAAACATGCAGTGAAACCAGATCAAGCCAAGCTTTACATTTCATACGAGTAATAAAGAAACTGGTTCAACCAGTTTTTCGAAACTTAAAAAATCTTTACATACTTGTTATAAGATATCTCCCCAATTGGAAAATAATACAAAGAGAATGCTGGCCTTAGCACAAATGAAGCGTCGATAAATCTATATCCAAACCTACAAATTCTCGTCAACTGAGCGATCATCTAAGATCAGTATAAATGTATTTTTGGGTGGGAAAATTTGCTTTAAGGAAGTAAACTTCGTGCGACTATCAGCGTAAACGTCCGATATTGGGGTTGAAAGTTAACCCTAAACATGTTAAATTTGATTTTATGCCAATGTTGATGGTATTTGAATCATACTATGCTTTGGGGGGGTTTAGTGTGCTATTTTAGGAAGCGAACGAGAAAATTTTGCGAAGAAACTTCCCACAGTTCTCATGCTAAAAGCATCAGCTTCCTAACAGGTGTTCCTCTCCCTTCCGAGGGCTTCTTTCATTGTGGTGCGCAAAGTTGAAACTAATATCTGAACGACCACTTTTCTAAATGCACTAAAGTCCACTGGCGTTTTCAATAATTAATTTGTCGAGCAAAGATTAGCTGTCTGCCCTTTAGCAGTTATAAAGTTCGATAGTGGATATGGGTGTATCCTCTCGTGTCTCGACAAGTTGTAAAACTTGAAGGTCAACCATAGTGATGGTTGAGTGGACAGTTTCTTTCCAACTATTACCATCTTTTATGACGTAAATAAGGAAAACGGAGATGTAACGCATGTTACACGTTGCTCTCGACTAGGGCGGTGAGGCGCCACGAAACTCGTGGACATTAAAGGAGAAATTTCTCTCGTTTCTCGTTTCTTTTAGATGATTATAAGAAAGACGGCAAGAAAATGGTCAAAGAAGAGTCCAAGGAAGAGAAAATGTGTGCACAGTGCAGCAAAACAATTGAGGGCAAGTTTTTGCTACGAGCTTTGGACAAGTTTTGGCACGAAGAGTGCTTGAAATGTTCGTATTGCAACACACAGCTGGCAGACTTAAGCTTTAAGTTTTACCTCAGGGAAGATTTAAAACTTTGTAAACGAGACTACATCAGGTAAAGCATAAATGTTTCTTTTCTAATTGCAAGAATATCTGTGTATTCATCCTCTCTATCATTAAGGAAGAATTATATAGTGAAACTTAAATACGCAGGAACCATTTCTATAGATTTTAAAATTGTTCAATTTTTTTCATTGTAAAATTTTCCTGAAAGCTCAGAAAAGAAAACGGAATACTTCTGTTTGTGATCATTAGATTCTATTGCTGTGAAATAATGATGAAGATAGAAGAAGTATTAGGATTAGTTCGTAAAATTTGTAGATTTTCGCTGTATAGTTTTAATTCCTTTCCATGGTTATAACCTTGGCCCAGATCAGTAACTCCGGTAATTCCACGGCATATCAATTTCCTGCTCAAACTTTTTAAACCTTTTACAAACCATTATACTGAAAACTGGCCAACAGCCAACTTAATCAGTTTATAATTACTAAAAACGGCAACATAGTCCAAAACGAAATAAGAACTTAAGGAATGTTCTCTTTCCTCTTTAAAAACTATATCATAATACAGTATGGTGTGCATTACTAAACGCTTTTTATCATTTTTCAAGCTGGCTGAAAAGATTTATCTATGATGGACGCTGAGTGAAAATGCTTCAGCTTCCCGGCAAACGTATTATGAAGTTTGGTTGAATAAACTCTACATGTTGTTAGCTTCTGGCACAAACGGGAAATGGGTACTTTATCAAATTCTATTTCCTTGATCGGAAGGCGAAAGTTAATAATAACTACTTTGTTCTGAATAAGGCAACACACTATCGTGTAATAAGTTTGAACCTTGTCGATGATTAGCCAGTGAATGAGCCTTTAACCGTAAATTTCCACAGCGTATTAACAGGTAAAATTACCGGAAATTTTCAAGTGAGCACCAGCTGCTTGCATTGTTAAAATTAACTTGCTGTGTTTTCTCCTTTTTCTTTTATATTTCTGTGTACTTGATAAAGTCTTTTTTTTGGATATTTTTCAGCTGAGAGATTCTCAGTACACGATATCTAGTATGTGTTCTCTTGATTATTTATTATTACTCAACTGAACGTAAAAACTGCAGAGAGACCGTCTTGTTAACATTGAGAGGAGTGATGCGTCCGTCTTCTTGAAATGCAGACTACAGTAATTAATCAACGACCTTAACAGGATCAGCAGTTTGTGAGTGTTCTTACTCAAATCAAGCTGTGAGTGAGAAATTTAACCTACGTCTCACATTTTTTGTAATTCACTAACACATAAATGTATTCAAAAGATGCTGTATTACTGAAATCAAGCGAGCATTCATGTTCCATTCCGCAGCCATAAAAAAGTTCGTTAACTCATTTCTTCAGGCCTAAATGGCAATTTTCAGGCCTAAGCCTCCACGGGTTAATAATATCACTGCTACCATTCGACCTTCTGTCATCCTTTTAAACAAATTAAATTTTTGCTTAGGGTTTGTCTGGGAGCATAAATCTGTCTTCAGTTTTACACGCAGGTATCGCAAACAACATAATCGGATCTAAGGGATTATTCCACTAAGTCCGCGTAAATTGATCGAAGACAGCCAGCCTCTTGCACGTGACCAGCTGAGAGGATAGTTCTCAGTGTATTTATAAGACATAGCATGTTTCCCTTTTTATTATTCCAAGCGAAACTACACTCGTGGGGATCATTCTGTCAACTCTGGAATAAATACCCTTACCTATACGTGACCTAATCGAATGAAAGTCATGACTCTTTTCAGTAAGTTAAAAATGTAAAGCAGTCTCCATGTTCTTTGTGATAGCTGTTTATATGGCGAGAGATGACATTTCCTTAAACATGAAACTGAGTAAAAATGCTATAAGTTATAAATAACCAGCTATGGTAAATTGCTAAAAGTTTTCACCAAATTTTTAAAATAGCTATGAGATTATAACCACACACGGCGTTTCTCATTTCACTGACCTTGGCACGTAGATCAATTTTGAAGTATAATGGGTTTTGTTTACTCTCCCTTTATTTGCTTTAAATTTATCACATGGCAGTGTTTAAGTAACCTTTAATCTACTGCAGACATGCCTTTTTTTAGCAATAAGTCAGGTGATAACTTACTTTAGCTTCTCTTCATCATCATTGAATTTAACTGGGCAGTTTTAAAAATCCTCGCTGTTACTTTGATGATGCTTTGGCAATGTTTCATAGTGACTAGTGAACTTCGATGAGAAGTAGTTATAAATAAAGTCATTGAGTGGTTCAATATTTTAGCAATACCTTGGGGACGCTCATTATTTATTAACGGGGGGGGGGAGGAGTGGGGGCGGTTGGAATATTTTCTTTGTGTCCGGATAAAACTTCCTGATCCCCCATAAGACTGAAATATTCGAATGATCCACCTCACTCGCAGTCAATATTTTAGCTGGCGATGACTGATCTTCCCTCGTTCCTCCTGAAAACCACGTGTTTCCCCAAAATACCATTTCTCCCCACTCCCCCCCCCCCAGCCAAGGCGATAACTAATGAGGGAGAACCATGTTGCATACTAAAAATGGACGTCATTTGAGCTGATAAAGATCTGATCATACCTTAATATGACAAGAAGTATGTTTATTATTGTATTAGATTGCAGTCGAACGTTTTCGTATCGTGAATCTTTGGGCAGCAGAGGGGCGTTTCTCAGTTAAATCTGTGAGCGTTCCAACAAAAGATTACACTAAGAAGCACTCTGGAGTCTGGCCAATATGGTTATAGACACTAATGATGGGAATGGCTTTGTCTAAATATTTTAAGGTCTTTTAATGGAATATATTCAGTATTAGGTTTCTTAAGCCCACTTTTCACCTCAGTTCAATTGTATTTATTGTTGTTTATTGTCATATGTACTTAATGCTGTACATTGTAGCGTTCTTTTCGCTGAAAAGTTCACAAGCTCTTCCCAAGAAATTTAAATTTGTTGGTCGATTTCGTAATTTGGATAGCTTTCACTGAAGCTTATTTGATAAAGGTAGGCCTTTTGCAATTTTCGACGGCTTGCTTAATAAAATTTCTCTCTGGACAGAGGAAAAAACAAGGAAATTGAAATTTAGCCCCCATTTGAACAAAAATCAAAATTGTAACACAGGCCCCAGGTTTGAGAGCTAACCCCCATATTTTGCCTTGTTTCGTTGTGTTCCATCTCCTTCAGGAGATTTTGAAAAAAAAAAAAAAAAAAGAATCTTTACCGATTTGACATCGCCGTACTGCATCATTCTTTCTTCAGACGTTTCCCGTAGATATTATGCCCACTCCTCTCTCGGCTATCCTTACATATTGGCTTTTATTTTCATTCCAGGTTATTTGGTGCCACTGGACAATGCGCGCACTGCTCCAAAACGATACTACCGCTGGAAATGGTGATGCGGGCTCGTGAGCACACGTATCACCTTGATTGCTTCGCCTGTCACATCTGCCAGTACAGATTCTGCGTCGGCGACAAGTTTTTCCTCCACTTTCAGGTGGTACTTTGCGAGGCTGATTACTATGACATCACAAGCATTTTCAACGTCAATGACATGGCTTACTATGTGTGACTTCCGGTTATTTCTCCCCTGATTCTGATACACCATTTTAGAAAGGTTTGAAAAAGGACAGGCAGAGACCAACTCAGGATCAAAAAGTAGAATGCTTTGGACTGCATGCCTCCTATGTTTTCTCATCTTTGTCCATCAGCTTTAACGTGATAACTCCAAAGACCCTTTAGCTTTTTCTTTTAATCATATATTTGTATCTTAGCATCTTCGTTGCAATGAAAAGAGGATCTTACATGGCCGCGTGGAGATACGAAATTTATCTTCGAGCGCTGACAAATATTTCACGAGTGAGCGAGGCGGACGAGCGAATACTTTTTAACAAGAGAGGAGGAATTTCGTATCTCCAAGCGGCCATATAATATCTTCTATTTATCATATAAACACCAATAAAATACTAAATAAAAGGCGCTACATCAAAGGCGCGATTTCTTTATGAAACCATAGCGACAGTGATCTTTTCACGCGTGAAGATGACATGTTATCTTTATGCGTGAAGATATCATGTTTTCGCGCAAAAGCTCACTTGGTATTCCACTGATGTTTATATACTAAAAACGTTTTCTAATTGTCATCTTATTATTGTCAAGTACGTTTTTGGGAGAAAGACTTCATTCAGATACCGAATGAAAAAGTACTCTGGAACATCGAATTCTGAAAACCTCTTGACTCTTACGTTTCAACCACAAGTTCTCTAGAAGGAAACTCAGGAATTCTAATGAGAGGACTAGTACTTTGTAAGGTAGAAATAAATAAGCCTCAAACTAAAAAAAATTTACCACTTAGCAGTATTTTTACAGAAAGGGCATACAAGGTCATGATAAGCGTTTGAATACCCTCATTCCTCTAAAATGCGTTTATTATAAAATGCTAACAGAGTAGTCTGTCAGAATTAAATGTTACAATACATACATCGGGTTTTGACAACATTTGATCATTTAGTACGAACAACATCAAGGCTCTTGTGCAATTGATTTGTTGGCAGGACAATTTTCCTTTTTTCTTAAATCATTTCTCTCCCGGCGAACAGACTGGAGTACCATTTTGTATACTAACATAACCCTAAGCTTCCAGACGGTACCGAAGAAGGCCCCGGATTGGCATCGGAATCTGTCAGAAACTAAAATCTCCGTATTACTTAAAACCAAGAAAATACCCGTGTCGCAAAATTAGAGAGTTATAGATCCCTATACTACGAACATGAAACGGAAAGAAATTTCTACTGTGCTGTGCGCGCACCAACCGATAAAAATTGATGACAGTCATTAGTTTTTGCGACGAAATCGAAGAGACCGGTCATCATTTATCGCGGGGGGAGGGAGGGTGGCCGATTTTGGATCTGTAACACTCCTATGATCCCCTGCCCTTAATTGGCTGTCAATTTTCCATAGTCCCCCCCCCCCTTTATTCTCTGTTGGCGACGACTGATCCCCCTGGAAACCATGTGATCCCCAAAAAGTCTCCAATTCCCCTCCCCCCCCGATAAATAACGACTGAACCCAAGTACTCGTGAAGTCAATTACTGGCTTTATCATTTAAAAAATAAGGAAGGGTTTTAAAAACATTTTACTCATTCAAAACAGTTACTGTATCTCCTCTGCCATCCACAGAGGGTCAGTAACTTAATAAAATGAATCTTCCAGAAGAAACTTTTCGGGTTTTCACTTTCGATTCATTCTTCTACCAAAAATGAAAGGTCCGAAGAACAAGAATGCGTTGTAAGGCTTTATTGTTAAAGGCTCTTTTAGGTTTGTACCTGGGAAATCGATAAATGGAAAGCAAGCAGAGCACAGACTTTCTTCGGGTAAGGAAAATAGTAGACTTCGTGTATAATAAGTGTTGAAGCAAAATTTTATTTCTCTTTAAAGTAATTGGACTTTTGAATCTTTAAGATAGATTTTTACACAGACAAGCTCTTTCGAGATGCTCGTGATCTTGTTATTACAAAATACAACCTTTCTTTTATCTCCTTCAAAAGCTATCAGTACGAAATATTGCAATAAACAAAAACAATTATTGATCAAAGTAGAAATTTGCTAAAAAGTACAAGGCCTGAAAGCCACTCATATGATTGTGAACGCATTAATGGATTTCCAATCTTAGTGAGAAAAACGTTTAGGAAGCGAATCAAAAGTCAGACTTGATCCCAGTTTCCCTGTTGTTTGACACGGTGGTCCTGAAATGAGAGAAACAGCTTGAGAGAGGAGTTGACACGAGAAACTGAGATCCCCTTGAGTCACCAAAAGAAAGGAGTCTGATAAAAGTAACCCCTGTCGCCATAATAGTGATCTTGACAGCGGATTGTGTTGTAATAAAGGTAGAACCTGTCTCCAACGCAGAATCTATAACGACACACGTGACAGGCGAAACAGTCCAAGTGATAGACGTGTTCACGAGCCCGCATGACCATTTCTAGCGGTGGAATGATTTTCAAGCATCGAGAGCAAATTCCTGTGGCTCCAAACAACCTAGATAAAAGGAAACAAAAGATATTGTGATAATATTATGATAAGGTAAAACTAGGCAAAGAAGCAGAACTTTCTTTCAAAAATGTGAATTGTTTCACGAACCTTCATCCCTACCCCCCCTCTCCAAAAAAAAACAACAAAACAAAAAGATAAAGATAGAAAACAACATGGATAAGAAACAATTTCACTTTACAAGCTGCGCGTCCAACGTGGCTTGGAAATATCATTTACTATTTCAGATATTTTACTTTTCAATAAAGTGCTCTCCATGCTCCACCAAAGCGATGAAGGGAAAATCTATTATAGCTCTGCTAAAGGTCAAGGCTGAGCTGTACGATTGTTTTAAAACAAAAACGGCTGATTGGCATTACAATGCTTATAACATGTACAGTGGGGATCATTTTATCAACTGGGAAGGCCTTCGGCTTTGACTTTTTTTCCTTTTGTCCTTTTGTAGTTATCCACATGCGCAGAGCTGAAGTTATCTCCTAGTAGTTGATAACCTTGAAGTCGCTAAAGAACATCTGCTAGATTATTGTTTCAAGTTTCGGGCAATTAGATATTACAACTAAATTTAACATTAAAACAAGATGAATGTCAACCTAGACGACGGCATACCAGCGAGAGAGAATAAGATTTGTCAGCTCTTCTTGTCGAGTTAAAACCTTAGTTTAGTTGGCACAATTGTTTCGTGCATTCAGCTGTCTATTATCGCATTATTCTGCACTTGAAAAGTTTGAAGAGCACTCAGAAAGCTACCATCACTTATTATCTTACGCGTTGTTTTGTTCTTTTCTCATTCCTGTCTCTTTCTCTCAGATTTTCAGTTTCTTTAGTCTTATTACGGGTCAAAAGTCGTTGCGATGAAACAATAAAACTAATTGTCAATCAAAGCGCCGATGTTAAGAACCGACCGAACCTAACCCGGCTCTGTCTGCTTGAAATAAGATTAAAAAGATTCTAGGATTAACATCTACGAGAAGTTTTCAAGTATTTTGTTTAGTATCAAGCTGTAAATAATGTGTGCGTTGACACTTTAACCGAGTCAAGGCGAAGAAAGAGGGGAACTTTGATTGAGAAAAAAAATCAAATTTTGGCTCACTGCACTATGTTTTTTTTTCCAGTTCTGATGAAAGTTGCGGAGTCTCGACTGTCAACATTCCATATAGAACGCGAACTTTCAAGAGATGACCTCAGAAAACACTAATCTCTAGCATTTTAGCACTGGGTCACTCAGTATTAGCTATTTTAGCAATCCATTGTACAAACAATTTTTGGACACTGAAATATGCGACGTGAGCATGGAATTGCAGGAAATAAGAGTGTCTTCATTTGAAATTTTACTGATATGCGTTTCTGTAATCGCTATTATGTGATTTGTAGTTACGGCGACGCTAAGAAAACCGTTGCCGGAAAATTCCTTTCAATTCCTCTGAGAATTTCGCCTGTAGTTTGATGTTTTAAACGTTTCTGACGCTGTAAGATCTCTCATCCAGCATTAAATGTGAATTCAGTGATGTTTCACTTTAGTCTCATTGCCGTTACTGTTAGGATAGTCTTTAAGTCCTTAGGAACGGAAGTCGCTTTAATTGTACTCTTCAAAACGTAATTAATGAAGTCTTTACTGTTTATTCAATAAAACCACGAAATTGCACGATAGCCACGAAATAGTATGAAATTTTGCTGATTGAATTTCCCAAGTACTGAATTTTTACTGAGCAGTGCAAAAAGCTTTCTATCACTTCGGCTACCCTCTCAAAATAGGAAGAGCAGATGATATGCCAACTGAAATTGCCTATCAATAGTCTGAACTGGCCTGTGAGATCGATCCAGTCATAAATAGAATAACGTTCTTTATGTCATAAACCAACGGCTGCCAGATTCTTCAGTTCCTAAATTGTATAAAATATTCTCATGGAATGTAGAAGGAAAAAGGCAACGCCGCCATGGATAAAAAAAGTGACTGATCTGGTTCGTCAGCTTGCTCGGTGAGGTGTAGATTGAGAAGAAGATGCAAATTTCGACACAGGGCCTTTTTTATTAGAAGTTACATTAAGTTATTTATATTGTCTGAGCCTCTCAGGAATACTCAGTATAAAAATTCGCGTGAAGCGATCAAGAAACAGTCTCAAGCCGAGAAGTTGTCAAGGCACCGAAACTTACTCAACAACTCATTCTATTCTCTGCATCACCACTTTTAAAGTTCTCAGTTTCAGCCTTGAGTTGTTCAGATTCTAGATAAGATTTTAAAGAATATTCGTTTATGGAAGTACATCTCAAAAGTAATAATTTAAAAGGAAGTAAAACAATGAACAAGGAACAAGCATGCCACGGAAAGGAAACAAATTGAACAGTTGCAAATCATACCGCATATGACACCGTCAGATACCCGTTGAAAATAATTCGTTGCTAGTGCGACGCCGCATCATTCAGAACACGAACTATTTTTTTGCGAGTATTTGACATTTTGTTTCTGTGTATGTCATGTTTAACTCGTGACTGTGCGGTTGGAAATCCATGTGGAATGGAAGACCAGACTCAAAACATCATGAAGTTTGAGGTAGGGACTTTGAACGCGATGCCAGAAAACTTTGCTAGAAAACTCGGAAGGGCCTAGAATGGGACTCCAAACACCTCGTTATACCAGCCATGCACGAACTCTTTTTTACGAAAAAATTTATTACATGCTAAATCGTTTGCGCCTTTAAAGTACTTTCTTAACTGTTTTGCAAGTTTATCATAAACTTGATGATCAAACTTTCCTTAGCCAAGCAACGTGCGGCTAGTCACGCGAAAACAAACTGTTCAATGTATTCAGAAAGACACAATACAAAAACTAAAGAACATATTTTTACGATTTTAGTTGCCTTTATTCTTGAATGAAACAAAGAAATGTAGTTACTAGTTATATCCTTCAGATGGGGTCGATTTTTCCGTAGGTTGTGTACTCAGTCTCGTCACTGCTCTTGTTTAGATTTTGAGCCTTCTAGTTTCCTTGACATTATATATATATTAAGCATTGAACTTTTCAGTAGCTTAACAGAAGTTCATTGGTGGCAGGAAAACCACAGGTTCCGAGTATGTATCAAATCTGGCTGAGTTTTACGAGAACACATATAAAATCAACAATTTTTGGGGGGGATTTTTGTCTACATCAAAGGTAATCAAGGACCCATTTTCGTGTTATATACGAATTTTATCACAAAAAATTACTTCAAGTTAAAGAACTATAGCATAAAATATTCCGTGATTGTTTTTGAAACCGCATATCCTCCCACAAGAAACCTCATTTCATATTTCTTCAAATCTTAGAGCTAAAACCATAAATTATTCAGTCCTCTCATCTCTCTGCCGAGAGAACACAAATATCGCACTAACGTCGTCGCTAATTTTAAGAGTCTCCGCCAGAGTAAACTTCAAACTTCGCTTGTAAAGGCGTTTTTTGATTCATTACCGTACATTTTCTGTTAAGATCGAACGAAAATAACCCCGATTTTAAACAGAGGGGCAACTGAGTAAGGATTAATGAGCATCTTGACGGATAGCGCCGGATAAAGATGAATTTCATTAATTTATGTTAACAGGTTTTTGGGGTTCTTGAAAGTTGTTTAAACCTCGAAATCTTTTAATCCTGTTAATGTGGAATACAGTTTCGCAACGCGATTTAACCTCCATGCACGGAAATGAAAGATTCCCAAGACAAAACATAATGCCACGATATGTTTCATGTTTAAATCATGTGTTCGTGATCAGAGCATAAACATTATGAATTATTGATACCATAATGTAAAATATAAAACGTCATAAGAATATTACTTTCAGGTAAAATAATGAAAGGGATTGCTGTCGTATTTCTCCTACGGGAAAGAGTTTTGCTACATCGATATTACGCCATTTAAACTTCTGATCCTAGCTACAGCGCTAAGTAATATATCTCATCGAAGATGCAACCCTCTTTTCAGTGCCACAATATATTTAACAGAGTCATCCAGTCCGTGCGCTTCAGCATCACAGGAAGTCTTTGAGCTTTACTCGTTTTACTTTCGAACAGATTTGAAGAGTTTTCCTTCAGATTCCGGCTTGCAGAATAAATAAAAGAACTGTTGTTATAACAAGAAAACTTCTCACCTGATGTAATCTCGCTTACAAAGTATTTGATCTCCTTTGATGTAAAACTTGAAGCTTAAATCAGACAGTTGAGTATTGCAATACGAACACTTCAAACACTCTTCATGCCAGAACTGGTCTAAAGCTCGCAGCAAAAACTTCCCCTCTATCTTTTTGTTACATTGCGCACAGATTTTCAGTTCCTTAGACTTTTCTTCTTCCACCTTTTCACCATCATTCTCTTTGTCTTCTGCAAGTGAGAAGGCGCTCATCAGAGCACAATTGAAATGTCTATAACGCGCGTGAGCCCACGCGTGTGTGGCTGAGAAGTTCCGCTCACGGCCGAATGAGGATTCAACAGTTCATTATATTCACAGCTGCGGCTCACTTATAATCTGTTGGCTAACAGCTCGTTTACCTGCGGCATATAATTTTGCGCCTTTCTGTTATTATGATATCGCTTTCGCTTCCTTGCTACAATTCTGCGGTTTGACTACTGCAGTGCTGTAAAGAATTGAACAATTTTAAATCTCAAAAATTAAAAAGTGAAATAGGCTTGAGTTTCCGTCGTTCATCATAAAGTCTTGAATCCTCTAGAAGCGAGGGGATAAATCGCTTATTACTGAATACATCCGGACATTCTAACGCCTACTGAGAAAACTTAAAGAGAGCTGTTGAAACATCAGTTAGGCACGGGGGCCAAAGAAAAAAATCATGGGGTCTGACTCAAGGTTTCAATTTACTGGCTTGTGCGGTTTAATAAACTCTGTTATTGCCAAACACTTAAGCAATGTTTATCTTTATGTCATCAGCGATTCGAATAACTAAGTCTGCAAAGGCTGTCTTTCTTTGAAAAATCTATGTGTAAAACAAACTTCAAAAGTTTGGTTAAAAAAAGTCAAAAGTGGCAAGGAATACCTTAATTCACAGACTGAATTATTTTGCAAAACGGTCATTGTACATCATAGCCTAAAACTTGGAGTTAGTGAATAAAAAGAGGTTTATCAACCACAAAAAAACTTACCCATCACTACTATTGGTGCGCTATGTTTGGTCGGCAAAACTTTTCAGTGGCACTAGAATACCTCAGTCCAGCTGTTGGAGAATTTTGAGACGTACACTTGCATTTAAATCGGCTTTGGATATTTCAAGGATCGAGTTTCTTCCAGCAAATTCTCTGCGTTTTAATCATCAAAGGGTCTAATTCCAGAATAGGCTCTCTAAGCGTACTAAGAACTCGCGATAATATTTCTTATGAATCAATCACTGCAAGCTGGATAGAATTATACCTGCGAAAGCCAAAGACAATTTCACAATTCGTAAAAAACACATCAGCGTTGCCTAAATAGATTTTGTATCATTCGATTTTTATCTCTCAGGAAGCGATTTTTTTAAGTTCATGGGAACTTGAGAATTTTTTTTTAACCTTGAGAAATATAATCTAACTGTTGCAGAGGGGGTACTTTCCGGTAATGAGCTGCAACTTGACAGTATACTGCAGAATTATGTATTTTTTTAAGGTAATAGAAGCCGATTTCATCGACAACAGGACATAGACCTTTAAGAGATAATTTAAAAACTATACAGTTGTTTCTTTTTGTTTCAAAACTTAATGTTTTGGATGTGAATTTAACGTTTTCTTACCAGCTAATTCCAATCACTCATTTCCTTTATTTTTATAGACGCAGTTTTAAAAAATATTATCTAAAATTCAGGACTGGTATGAGGGTATAGCGACGATCGACCTGTTCTTTTGATCCACCCAAGTAAAGAATAACCCTAAAAATTTTTACCTCAAAAATATTTTCACTATTCGGCTGAAATTTTAAGTCTTACAGACACTATAAGATATGCATCATGTTAGCCATTTTTTTCTTTTTCTTTGATGCGGGAGATGTAATCGTGAAAAATCAAACGTGGTTGAAAAGGAAATCCGCGTACCAACGGAGCGGAAACAATTGTTGACTTTTCAGATTGTTTTGCTGACAAGAACGTGATCAACTATCTGTTTATTACGTATAACCTGTCTTGTAAAGCCGCGAGGGAATTTCAAGGAATTTTAACCGAAGGAGGAAATAAGGGCATATAGATGTCGCAAATTTTCCCTCGGGAATATCACGTGTGGAGATTAGGATCAAAATATTAAATTGCTACTTCTATTCTAATTCCCTTATTAAAGAGGTGAATTTTTTTTTACGAGTTAAATTTATGAAAACAACTCCAATTTCATTTCCGTTGCAATTACAAGTCTTTTTAATGGTCTCTACGGCTCTCTACAGTCATCCATGCGAACTGTACTCTCATTTCAAGCTAATTTTGTTCAGATAAACCTTTCCATAACTTTCTTCATCGTTTTCGTGACTGCTTTCAAGAGATATTTCAGTGTACTTTCAACACTCTCTCCATCTATGTCGATGAAAGAGGCGCTCTTTTGGGGCGAGTGATGCGAGTAAGTGTTTTTCTAACCTCACCATAGTAACAGGTTTGACAGCTACGTTAGGACGCGTCCCAGATGCAAAAGTTCACTTTCTTCTCCTTCTCTCTGATAAAAATCTACTTTTAACGCATTTGGCTGTCAGAAATAAACCAACTGTCACGAGAACTGTCTTGAGGTTTTGTGGTTATGCAAATAGTAGGCATTTTTTTAACTGAGTTTCGGATTTAAGCGCAATCGAAACTAAGCATTTTGTTACCGTCACCTCAAGGTACATGTAAAATTTAAAGCGGGGTAGCATTTAGGATGGACAAACGAACAACACGTGCTTCAAAAAGGAATAGGTAAATATGTAAACAAATAAGAATGATGGAGAAACACACAAACACAAAAGATCAGTTTTATTTAAAAGCTTGCAATGATTTAGAGTGCAAGAGAGTGTGTCAGAGGGTCAGCGATGAACGACGAGGCTTAAAAAACATCGCTACCAAAAGCTATTTCTTCCGTTAATGTAACCATCCTCTTCTTGTTACCATAAGGCTTGGCATTTCTGTTCAGACACTGCAATGTGCTAGTTCTTTTCTTGCGCTAAATAATTAAGCTATCCAGCCCTGCTAAACAAAATGACCTGTGGAAGCGACGCAAAACTAAAGCAGAATGGAAGACGTTGTCATCCTAAACCATACCCTAAACAAAAAGCTGCGTAGCAATTCCTTACACACTAGCTAAGTCTATTGATTGATCAAAAAATTGTTTTAAAACTTTAGAAGAAAGCTTTGCAGGATAAAGCATATCTTGTGATAATTCAAATCCCAAATTCTTCCGCTGTGTCGGTGGAGATGTAAATAAATTGATCGTCTTTGAAAATCGGAATTCTTAAACCTGCGGTTCCAACATTATCTTCCGCACAATAAGCTATCCCCAATATAAAGGTAAAATCCTTCTTAAGTTGATTTTACCTGTAACAAAAAGTAGAATTGGCTTTCATAAGTGCGTTTGGATCGATCCTTCCTTCGCTAATGGGTGCGCGTAGAGATCCGTCATCTTCATTCGATATATCAGTGATTAATGCCTCTTTTTTTTTAATTCACTCTGAAATCATTTTCAAATACTATTTGATAAATCTGCTTAGCTACGGTCTTGCGGGCAATATCCCCGCACATGACTAAACTGTCATAAAAAATAACCTTTATGTTTTTCCACAGGAGTCGATTTTAAGATGTTCCAAAACCACCTGATGGTAACCCAAATATTTGGCACAAATGCGCCCCCAAGAAGACTTCATTAGCACAATTAAGCAAACGCCTGCGTCAGGTAAATTTTATGATAGGCTTGGGATCCATCTAATTGTAAAAGAAAGGGATAATTTTAGCTCCTAATTCACAACATCTATTTTTGCTCGGGTAATTTACTTAGTGACTATGACTTCCTGCGTAGCTCAGGGATGTCTCGAGTAAATATAAAGACTTTGTTAATTAACTTAAAATAAAAGGAATATTGCTTTGCCTCCTTTAAAACTTCTCAGCTTTCCTTCATATCTTTAAAATTTGAGACAATTGAAAGGCATTTAAAACTGAGAAAAGGATGTTGGATTTTTTCATAAGCGGGACATTTAAAACCTGTTTCAAAAGGTAGTGGAAAAGACTTGGACTTCCATACAGTCTTCTACAGAAATAGATAAAAATAAAATTATTTTTAACAAGGCAATAACGAAGCATCGGAAAGTTAAGCCGGAAACTGGATCTTCGTATCTTTACTAAGTCTTGTTTGGATAAGAAGAAGCCAAGAAGGCTTGATTCAAGGAAATGCTCGCTCTAATTTCTATTCAAGACTTAGGAAAGCTTAAAGTAGTTATGGCTTCATCATTCCAGTTAAAAAGACTTGAGGGCCTAAACAGCTAATAAACTGAGAATCTAGATGATCTATAGCTAAGTAATGTTGCACAAAACTTATTAGAGATTCCAACTCCGTGGAGTGAATGTAAAAAATGAGAGAATTGATGCACAGCGTGTGGGAATTTATTCTTTGAGATCGTTTCGACAGACGCAATGCTGAGGTCAAACTTGCCAAAACTAAAATCAATTTTGCATTAAGTTCAGTCCAATCGACGCTGACATGCTGTGCACTGATGTATAGGATATCTTGGTAGCAGACTGAACTAATAATAACGCTCTTGATATGAATTTATGCACTGAAGAGGCTTTCAGCAAAACTGAAAGGCGTAATCTCTAGGACACGTTACAAATGAAGATCTGGAATTCATTAAAGAAGAGCGTCTATCTTTAGTTTGGACGGACACAAAAGGACACATTTACCTTTATCTAGTTAGAATCTTTTTGTTGACTATTAAACCTACATGAAAGATGGAATCACAGTTCTCTCAACGTCGGCACTCGTGAACTATGCTGATAATCAAACATTCTCTCGAGGAAAGAAAACCCACTCGTCATTGCATAATGAACAATTTTTGGGACGAAATAAGTGGCTACGTGCATAATGCAATAAAATGCCAATGTCTATTTAAAAAAATAAACGATATTGAGTATATTGAGGTATAAAAGTAGGCTGAAAGTTTGAAAAGCACGAGAGAAACGGAAGAGTTGCTGAAGGCGCGGCCGAGAGCAACCTGCTTCTGCTCCCCACATATTCAAATTACATTGATACGCACAGCTAAAGCCATGAACCATTTGAGTTATAGCATCGCAGTCAAATTCTGTGCAAGAAAAAAAATAACTGTTTTTCAGCATTTTTGTCAGGCTCACTTGATAATCGCTTGCTACCCGATAAACTATGAATAACAGATAGGCAAAGATGACCAAGAATTATTTCGAGACCAAAGCTTTTTTCAGAGAACTGCTAAGGGACCCAAAGTTGTTGTTTAGAAGCGAAGTACATATGAATTTCTTTTGCGTACGAGACCTGCGTAGCAGACTCACTATGCTTGAATCGTTGTTTACTAGACTTCACGACCAGAAAACTGGGTCGTACTGTATTGAAAATTTTAAGATTTTGACATGAAATCTTCCATTGGAAAATACTTTAAGGAAATATCGACACTTTAAAA